TATACAAAGCACTTAAAAGTTACATGGAAAATGATGACCTGGGTTGAATATTGCAGTAAATCACGTTATCATTTGCTACTTGTTGTTTTTCTATGCGTATTTTATCTGCTGTTTGATAAATATGTTTTGAATACCTTCATGAATACTTTATTCATGACCTCAGAAGAGGAGCTAAAGGAAGAAATGAGTATTTTAAGACCATCTTTTCTACTAGTGTAACCCCCAAAATTCAGACTGTATAAGAGGTAAAGGCAAAGCCAGAGAATGGCAGTAGATGATAGCAAAGAATAACTATTAACTGTAAATTCCTATAAACTGTAAATCCCAAAATGTCCTGTTTGTTGCATATGGATCATGACAACATGACAAAGCAGTAGCAGCATCCATTAGAAGAACACAGCCAACCACTTGATTTGAAACCTACTGTTCCCACACTGGCATTCTTGCAACCCAGGTTTCTCAAGAGAGACTGCCTACAAAATGGTTGAAGAGAAGTAAACTGGTATCTTTATCAAAACAGTTCAAACCTTACTGCAAGCACTCCTAAATTTTTCAAGATGAAAGCATTATAATTCGCTAACGTTTTCTCACCATGCAAAGAACAATAATAATTTCTTAGGAATAAATGAATGCATATGGCTTCACCTTTTATAAAACAGAGTCATCCCCTGCCATGTCTTAGTCTTTAGAGATTATTGTTTATGTTGCTGCATGCTTTTATGGGAAGTCTTATCAGAGAGCTGTAAAAGGGATTAAAGGTGTAAAATTCTCACACTATGCAATGAACTTGTACTGTATAAACATACAACAGCTGATTTGTTCATTGACCCATTGTTTTTCACAATGCATCATGGATATAATGTGTATTAAATAGCCACATCAGCAGATAGACAATATTACGCAGCCTTCACATAGTTTTGCAGCTTTGCTGTCAGTGTTTTGCTCTGCAGAAGACTTATTTTGGATTACATCTCCAATATCACAGTTAAAAACATGCACTAGTGGGTGATTCAGCATGTAAAGTAGGGATACAAGTGCATCATTAGCTACACTAACTAGTACACTGACACCTAGAAAAGAATATCTGGCTAAAGCCACTGGTTACACAGGAAGTTGTGTTAAATATTTGCCTGAAATATTATCTGTTTAGAAGTTAAATTAAATACAGATCCTGGGTTTTCATGAGAGAGGTGACAGAGCACTCTTCAAAAGAGAACATTCTAAACAAGATTTTCAAGACTTACTGAAAGCTTAAAGTGCCTATCTCTGTGGAAGAGACAGATGATAAATCCTAAGCCAAAGAACCTTCTACAAAAGGCCTTTCTAGTAAATTGAAAGGAGTAAATCCTAATACAAGTAACAGGGGAAAGATAGGAGAAGATCTGTATTTAATAATATCTCCAGAGAAAAAGAATTACAGTTGTGTAATTCACTATTCCTGCTGAGGAAAGTAACTACAGATGTTCATTGCCAGAATCTATAGGGTGAGGATGAATAGTTCTTCAGAATCTAAAGGACTGAACATACATGGTTATATTCAGCCTGAAGGCAAGAAATAAGAAGAATTTTTTTCCAGCAGTTTATCTTCCAAAGCCAGAAACCTTTAAAGAGAGCTACTCCAAACGAAAAAATAATCCATTTTAATTTTAAATACTTTTGGAATAAGAAAATAATGCATTTTGTTAGAACAATTCAAGTTGCTAAAAAGAAGAAAATGAAAGCTTATTTAGATGAAAGAAAAATAATGTTCTATATTTGTAGTTTATTTGCAGGTTTGGATTTTTTTCACTCATCTTTTGTTATTATTGCATTTTCTGTGTTGTAGAACATCGACATCTGATCTACTGTAGAACATCTACAAAATTAGCAATTTAAAAAACTGTACTTAAGCCTGCAAAATAGCCTTGGCAAGACATATATCAAAACTTTTTTTCTCTCCTGCTTAACAAGGAGCATATTTCCAGCAAGTATTTACACTTCTATACCTAAATGGGAATATGCTTTTTTTCAGTAGCTGTTTCTAGAAATCTTAAATTTTGAAACATTTAAAAATACAGAGTTTTTTCTGTACTAATTAATATGGCAACCATGGATTTCGCAGCTTTCTGCTTTTATCCTCAAGACAGTTCTAGTTTTATGGTGTTTTTTAGGTAGCTTCTCCCCCTTTCAGCAGAGAAAGCAAGCATTGAAGCACAGGGAACACACCCCCTGTGTTGTGAAAGCCCGATACATGGTTTGAGATGAATTCACGCCTTCCTACTTAAAAATTCCTATGTTTTTCCATACTCAAAAGTGAGGTAACTACAGAAAGTTTTCATGATACATGAACAAAGTCAATTTAGTTAATAGRATTTTTTTTCTTGTAACTTTCTTTTTAAGTAAATTCATGCAAGAACAGCATGAAATAGAGGTATAGCTAAGATTTCAATATGAAGAATCAGTGGTGGAAATCCTTCTCCTGGAGCCAAGTGTGAATGATCTGTTTTGAGAGACAGTGAGAAAAAGCAGTATCTGCAAAGAAATACACTGCAGAAAGAATTATACTGTAAAGTTTGTCAGGGTGGATGATCTTTTTTGGAGTAAGAGAAGTGGTATCTGTCAGTTACCTGAAAAAAAAAACAAAACAACGCTATTGTATATTCTTTACAACCTTCTTAAGGGTGAAGAAGGGTGAAAGCTTTATGTTGGGTTATGTGGCTATCTGTCCAGTAATGACCAAATCAAAAGTAAAAAAATATGTAATATTTAAAACACAGCTTAAGTGTAGGATGGTGGGAACTGGTTTTGCTCAGACTTGAATGATCAATCATGTTGTGAGAGAGAGTCTATAGTTTATTCCTAATCTTACTTTCATCCTCTTACATATATAAAGTGAGGGGATGCTCTACCTTCTTCTTCTGTATCTCCAGAAGTGCATTAGACATCGGAGGATTCTTGCAAATCCTCCAGCTCCCCAAGGATGCTACAGACATCCTCATCTTCTTCCATCAACTCTTCTTTAGATGGCCTCCTGAGAAATGTAGTACAAGTATGAATTCATTTGGCTGGGCCACAGCACATAGTGCATCAAAATGCACTCAACTCAAGGTCCAGCCAAGAAAGGATCTAATTTGACCTGCATATAGATTCATCACTCTCCAGTGACATCCTTGTAATTGTTTTCTGAACTCTTTATGAATCTGTCGGCCCATTTCCTTTTTCCATTATCATTCCAAAGATGAGAAATGGATGTAAAAATCAAGGTTACTGAATAAACAAAATGAAGGGAAAAAATAATCACAGAGGCCTCTTGGCAAGAAAGGAAATAATATATCCTACCAGGGATACATCTACAACTAAGAGCAGAAAGGAAACAAAGAAGATGTGTGTTAGCAAAGAAACATAATTAATGTTTATTTTGTTTTAAATAGTAAAAAAAAAAAAATTATCTGTGAATTAAGTGGACAAAGATACACAGGAGAACTAAAAGCTGCCTCAGAGACTAGAAAAAGAATTGAAAGTCTGTAATTTGCTTTTTCGTTCTTGTAATTTTTTTACACTCACCACAACCAGAAAGACATCCTGACAGAAATGCCAAGAGATAACACTCCTCCTATAGCCATGAGGAAGAAAAGAATGCACATTTAGGCATCATCTCTTCATAATGATAACCACTACCTGGGCACCTGCTTGTCACCTTTATGGTGAGAAGAATTGAGACATTCTGAATTTTCTCTACTGATGAGTGCTCCTGACTCATATTCCAAACACGAAACCCCAAAGCTGAAAATCTGTATTTAATTACTTACCTCAGAAATGTGGGAACATACCAAGCCTATCTCTAACTATCTCTACTATCTCTAACAGTTGACACTTTTCCTTTCTTCCTTCTTTCTGTGCTATGGTGTCTTAAAAAGAGCCCTAGTTTCTGCTGTTTTACCTCACTTTTTATATGAAATGAATGTCTGTACCTCCAGAAAATGTTTGTTTCTCTAGAAAAAAAAACATGATGGAAAGGGGAAGAAAGTGCTACAAATTCCAAATTAAGCCAAAAATCTCAAACACAAAATGTTCTAAGATAAAATGCTTTTAAAGGATTCTCTAAAGAAAAGGGAAAGGGGAGAATTTTCTAATTGTTCTTGTAAGCAGCAAATAAAACTTTCACAGAACCATCTGATGTCAGAGGAGTATGTAGCTACTAAAGCTGCTATCTTCTGCAAGTTGGCACAAATGCTTAACATTATAACAACTAACATGCTATAAAACATGCTACTTCACTGCAGATGGAAAGGGCAGAATTGTTCAAAATAGTTCATCTTCAACACTATGGGACAAATGTTACTAAATAACATAACATCTACCAAACTTAACATAGTGGTTCTATTCACATATAGCAGTCATCTAATCTTTTCATTGTTCTTCAAAAATGACACTGATTTTTGTACTCTGAAGAAGTTATAAAGAAGGCATTTATAACAGATCACCCATATCAGTTAGCAAATACATTTCAATAGCTAAGGCATGCTTAGGCCCTTACTACTAAAAATTCACATTTTTCATGACCTTAYAAGAAAGACAGTAAATTCACGATATGTGTGTGATGGACACTGAACAGAAAAGATTTTTTTAATCAAATGGTCCTTTACACTTAAGGTATGACCTAGAAGTGTAAGCTGTTCATAACCTTTTGCTAGTCACTGTGACAGCTAACATTTCCCAGATGACACCTTTTACCAGCTGTCTCCCCAACTCCAGTAGAAAAATGGCTGTCTATTCACAATGATGTGCAAAGTATTCCCTTTTTTGCATATTTCCACTTTATAACATTTTCACATTCTCTCACGTGACATATTATTTCCTAACTTTGCCCACTTCATTGTAACATAGGCTCATGGGAAAATAGTAAGACAATTAACAAGTACCATATTTCCCACACATACACTCTGTCCTTGTGACATTATTTTGGCCAGATAAAAAGTTTATTATTTCCAGACCCCTGTAGGTCTTTACTTTTAGCATACCTGGGTTTGGATTCTGTTGAGCCCTCTGAACCAGAGAATTTGTCCACGTCGAAGTTCTCTCTCTGCATGATCGATCTCTTCAACATCTTCATTAAGCTCTTCTTCTGGGACCTCCTCTTTTTCAGTGAGCCGCCCTGCCTCCTTTAAAAACTTCAGCCTACTTGTTGGGATAGTTGCAATAACCTGAAAATTACATTATAAAAAAATGCTGAAAACACGAGTCTCATTCAATAACACAGTATAACAATCTGCTAATTACAAAAAAGCCCTGATATTTTAGCGAGACTTCAATCTCTCTGGAAGACTAAGATAAGCGTATTCATAACATTGCTTTATATTTATCCAACTCCATTTTAGCTCAGGGCACTTAACGGAGTTCTTGCTATGTAAATAGTCGGCATTACTTGCATTATTAAACCACCTGGATAACACACAACTGTGGAGCTGTTTCCAGTCTGGAAAGAAGTGTCATCCTTCCTAAAAAATTAATGGTGGAATTTTGACTTGTGGTTATACGTATTTAAAAGAAACTAAACCAAATATAAATTAAACTAAAAAGTAAACTAAAACAGGACTGATACAACAAATCAGAATCCTCTCTGTAGCATGTAACATAGATGAGGTGTCTGGTGCTAGAGGTTTGAACAGCCCCTGTTGGGCTATTTGTATGTCCACCATTCTGTGCCCTTACTATAGATGTATTTTAGATAACTCATTTCTTTTCCCTAGTCTTCTTGGCCACTACAGTTAATTATTTGGAAGTAATAAAAGAGATGGCTAATACTCTTTTTTAAAAAAATGCCAATATTGTAACTAGACTCTGTTATAACACAATTATTTTAAATACATTTCAGTAAATATTGGGCAGTCACTTTCTCTTTGTTCTGATTTCATCAGCTTGAATAAAGATACAAGCATTTGGTTATTTCAAGAAGACATGTTACCTGGAAAGCTAATCATCATGAATGTTTGAAAAAAAAATCTCCTACAAAGTTAACTGTTAGATGCACTTAGCATAAGCATGCTGTAATTTTCTTTATTCTCATTTCAGAAGTCAAGACATCACGTCTGAAGCCCAAGTGTATGAAAAATGAAACCAGCTGAAACAGGAAGGCTTTTTTGCAGACAGATTACTACTATGGGACATCTAAAAGTAAGGAAAGGTTGCTATCTGCTGTAGAAAGTTATTGTCAAGTTTGTGATAATGATTTCTTCGAGATCCACCTTCTGGGTCCATCTTCTTTCGTATGAGACCTAAGCCTTGCTGTTCATTTTTGCAGTCCTCTTGCATATGATACTGTTCAGCCCACATAATTTGCAGCAAATTCTAAGCTAAGTAAACCTGAAAATCAGAGAATCAAAGCACCACTCCAGTTGGACAGATGGACTACACAGGAGGTTTTTTATTTAAAAAAAAAAAAAAAAAAAAAAAAGGAAAAAGAAAAAAGAAAAAAGAAAAGTTCTTCTCATTTCTACACTTCTGAGAAACATTTTTAAAGCACTTTTTTAAAACATGACATGAACTTGGAAAATTAATGAGATTGATGTGATGTCAGCAAAACAGAACAGGAAGAAAACAAGGTAAGTGTAGTTATTAAAATACCTGCTGGAACTGCTTTAGTTTTCCAAAAATGAAAATAACTCTACAGAAAGAATTTATTTAATATTGTTTGTATAATATTTTATGAAACTGATCTGGATGATATGCTTGCAAGACAATGTATAGAAACAAGCAATACTACATTTGATAGTGATTCCGTATGATGGCACATACCTCTTATTCGGGACCTCCCTCAGCCAGGCTGACAGATTCTGCCCTAATTCTTAGGGAGTTCAGGTGTTGAGTTTTTGTTTTGTTTTGCTTTTTTTTCCATATGTGCATACATCTACTCAGGTAATAGTAGATTCAATAGACTGGTTGTAGGTTTAAGAACTAAACGCTGTTCTCCAGAAGCTACCAAATTAAGACAGTTTTTTTCAAAAGTAATGAATAATTTAGAGAACATAACAATATTTTTGAAGGACCTAGCAGACTTCAGAAGTTAGCTATCAAACTGACCAGGTTTTCCTCAGCAAATGACATAGCTCAAATCCTCTCTTGGAGTAATAACTATATTAATGCAATTTAATAGAGGTGGTTTTCAGCAAGGTGTACATAGAAGTTGTCATCATATAGATCTTACAGCTCAAAAAAACCCCAACTAAACAAAAACCCTGTAGACTAGTTGTCCAAAAAGCTTTCCCATTTTCATTTTCTTTTCCCCAGTATAGGGGAAAAAATAAAAACCAACAATTATAATTCTTTTGGAATCATCTCAATATTCCAGTTGCAATTGAAATTTCTTGTCTGTCTCTTCATAGTGGCTAACTAGTTGATCCGTATGTATGTTTGCCTGAGAGAAGTAAACTATTACTTAAGATTTGTTTTATTGTGTCAGGTAGTATCAACTTAAAAACCAGTAAAATGCATTTACAGAGGAAAAATAAGCACTGTGGTTATTGTTATAATACGTATTTGGACATTGAAGGGTAGTACAATGTTTTAACAATACTTGGAGTCAAAGCTGTACAGTTTTCTTCCAGATAACTAATTGCAGCACTTAATTTTGATATAATTAATTTCTTTTTCATCTATATTCGCTAACGGCAACAAAGATTTAAGCAGAATTTACAAATGACACCTGGGTGTCACCTTTTCATATCTATTCTAGGATAAAAATATTTTTCTTCCATCCTTGGCACATAACATTGGATGGGATCATAATCAAGAATTAATATACACGCAGGTATACATTAAATGCATAGGAGATCACAATATTTCTTAATGCTATTTTAGTAACAAGGTGATACTGAACTGAGAAGACTGGCAGATTAAGCAACAAAAGGAGTGGGTGGACTTAGAAATGGAACTTATTTTTAATTTCAAAAATTAACTGTGGCGGAACAAATATGTTGGGCTCTCTAATGCATAAGAGATGCATTTGCACTATTAGATCTATATTTTTGTGTGTGTGTGTGTGTGTCTCATTATTGATAAGATGACTACGCTATGAATCAAACCTCTTTTTAACACAAAAGCCTAAATCAGGATGACCTTGATGTTAGCATGTCCTGCTTAGAGAAAGAAAAGATATGAAAATTAACAAAAATCAAAAGGAACAACAGGATATATTATCTTTACTGCTATCTGTTGTTGAAGTACTTACAGAGCTACTTCTGTTTCAGTTGTGTCAAATAGGACATTTTTGAGAGATCAAGAAAGTAACAATGTAGTATAATTACAAACATTATTTGTGTGTGTGACTGCAAAATCAAATCTTTCATCACTTCATAAAAATGGATGAAATATGCACATTCCTGAATAATGCTTACCTGACCCCATACAAGTTCTCCTAATCCAATAAATACACACCACATCCACTGGTCAAGCTGCAGGGGAGAACAGCTAAATGGTTTTCCTCCAAACTGGACAATTACTATCTACAACAAAAAAGAGGGTAAAATAATAAGAATCTTACAGTGATACTTTACCTGAGATTTACTTTTTCCTTCTACACATTACAGCTCTGGCTGTTTGATTCCAACCTATTTGGCCATAGAACAGTCAAGCATATTATTAAGCAGATACTGCTAAGCAGACTGAATGTGAAGATTACTCAAACCCAGAATTATGTTGTTATACAGTCTTATGTTCCAAACAGATCAGTTGATAGTAAGTGACATGTTAGCCAAAGAGGCAGGTCTACCCAAAGTTCTTTTTTGGAGCCTGAAAGTCACAGAAGTTCAACCACTGAAAATAAAACACACAGGCACTTCGAATTAAAGGTCAAAAATGGAGTATTCATCCTATGTACAAAATAGCCATACTAGCTCATTCTGAGGCTCTATTAGGCGGTCTAACAGCAGTCAAATATAAATGTCCAGGAAGCAAGTAGGACTGCCCAAGAATACTTGCCCAGCATTTGAGCATCCTCAGCTAAGGGATTTACTGAGCCTGACATAGTTTATTTTGGAATGTCCACTGCACACTTAGGCTATCTTCGCTATAATGAACTTGGCAAAATTTAGTACTGTTGGGGAAAGAGGATGGAAAAAAAATGCACAGCAGAAGCACTTACTTGTACCTTGAAGAAAGGATAATATTTTTTTTTAGCCCGGTTAGGGTGAGTTGGTTTCGCTAACTGCAAATAAAATTTTATTGTTATTTTTTATTAGTAGTGCTGCTGCAAAACCTGAAGTCACAGGGCAGTGGCTTAAATAGTTAAAGGCTGCAGAGTAAAAGTGAAAATTAATTGGCTAGTCTAGAATATGAAATGACACTAATACATAAAATGGTTGTCTTACTCTGAGCAAACAAGCACAGGTATGGGCATAGATTTTATGTGAAGTACAAATGCAAGAAGAAAGATGACAGAAGGTGGAAGGCTGTGGATAAGAAGTAGGAAAATGATTTGAGATGGTAAAGAAAAAAGGAACGAAACAAAAAGCTGTAAATGTGATGTTAAGAAAGATAAGAAGAAAGATACCACTACACACTGGGAGATTTACAGATGCTAGATGAGATAAATTTTAATCCATCTTTCTTCACTGTAAAGATCTTTTTTTTTTTTTTTCTGTAAATAGAAAAGGGGTTGAAAAACGAGAGAAAGGTAATATTTGTTTAGGAGTATTAACTATCCTTTTATTTATCAAACTGCTGAAACTCTTGAAGAAGTATTTTCTGATTCTTATCAAGCCTGTATTGTAATAGGATTGTTCTTTTTTAGCTTTTATAGTGGACCACTTTGCAGTTAGCTTTTACTTCTTTGGTGCTGAGGAAGGGAGGTGGGACAGGAYGGTTAACTGGAGTTTTTGGGCTCAGGAAGTGAAATACTGAAGCCAGTTAGTCTGTACTTCTTGAAAACTGTAGTAAAAAGACAATGATCTAAACAAGTTTTAGACATTAAATAAAAATAAGACTGTACTTGCCTCTTGACACTTCCATAAACGCACACATCCATCTACATATACTAAATGCCCATAGGTAATCACCCTTACTTGGAATAAAAGGCTTGGTTTACACAACCTGGTACCATGAGAAGTAGCCAAAACAGTAAATACCATTCTGAGATGCATGAGCAAGCAACATTATTCAAAGTTGTACTTCTACAATGCAATACATTGTAAAATTGCATAGAATGACCTTTCATTATCTCAAGAATAATGACTGGACTTAAGTAGTCACAAATTAAGTATTTTTTCCATTAAATTTCCTTTTTGATTCATTGACAGACTGCAAACCTGGACTGCTGTTTGGACGATGAACTGAAATTATCATTTCAACTACTAGGGAAGCAGGGAAGCAGGGGTAGCAGAAATCAGCAGCTGGGTAAATGGGTAAAATCAGCAGCTGGTTCTGAATTATGAAGCAGCTGGATGGCAGTTTTTCTTTCAGACAGATAGCTGAGTACTGTTATGTCTAGAACTGAAAATCTTCAAGCACTTCCCATGATAACAAAGTTGAGAGATGATGTCCTCGAGGCAATTTGGTTCCTATTAGCAAATCCATCTGTTCTGGAATGATTATTGCTATCAACTTCTAAAGGACATCACTGGTGTCCTTTCTCCCACATATAGTTTATCAAATGATTCCCTTTTCTGGTTTTGAACCACTGTGACACAGCTTCAGATAACTCCATATCTCTCTCCTTCCATGTGAAACGGGTCTGATCCCAGAATTGATCAATAATGTCACAACTTCCAGCAGTTGTGAGGACTGCAGTGGACTTCTGAAAGCTATTGCTAGGGAGTGCTAGGTATAGGGTAGATTACAAAGGATTACCTGAATAGCAAATGTACCCAGTACAATAGTGCAAAAAATAGGATTTCTGAAGATGCCATCGAAGACATTTCTTTCACCATGGATTTTGCGTGCATTGATTTCGTTGAAAAGCTGCATCATGACAAAAGTGTTGAAGATAATGGTGTAGTGCTCTGAAGGAGGAGAGTGAAGTGGTGCGTTCCTCCCACTGTCAATCTTAAACATTTTCTCACCTAGACAGAAGACAAAAATAAAGGTTTCCACAATAGTAAATTAATCAGATTCGTATTAGCCTTGTTTGTCTTACTAGTTGCCTCTCTTTTGCTCTGCTTTGCCAGCTTGCTTTCTGCACTTACTTTAAGACAGGCCATATTTGAAACTGTAGTGAGCAGAAGGCATCTCAAGTTTCTGAGTAGCTTCTCAAAGGATGACTTTTATCTAATAACTAAGTATATTTACTTGAATAGTTTTCAGTAATATTTTGAGTAACTATGGTAAGGAGTCAGTTCTTTAAACCAGAGAGTTAGAGAGTTAGGGATCTCTTGACTGTATGTTCAAGTGAAAGTTGAAAGCAGTCATTCTTCAATAGTTTTTCTTTACCTATTAACTATTTCGGTACATGAGAATTCTTGTCAATCATTCAAGTATGTTAATGATAAAAACACAGACATGCCTTGTTTTAGACTTGGTTTACATCATCCTGTTGATTTGCTTTGAAAGCACGCTGTCATGAATCACAGTCAATTTTGACACGTGGACTGTCACTTACAGAGATGACCAACATAAGAATATGTCATACAGTCCATGATGACTAGTTGTTAAAATGTGGTAAATTTTGAAAACGTACTATATGGACTAATTTTCTTACAAAGCTTACAGCTAACACCCAATTACTAAAACAGGTACTGTCTTGAGTGAAGGCTGGAGCGTTCATATGAAAGTATGTAAGAAAGCAAGTAACAAATTTGGAAAAAAAAAATTTCCCTTATCTCACGATATTATAATACCAATTTCTGGAAAAAAAAAGGTTTTTTCATGTTTCCTCATGAACTAGTTTATAGTCTTTTGAATGAAGATTTTAATATGATTAATATTACCACAATATGAAGCTACAGAAGTTAGGTGGTTAGAAAGCAGAGATACACTAGCAAACTATTGGAAACACTCCCTTTCATGCATACAAACAATAAAGGAAAAAATAAATGAAATATTGCCACATTGTAAAAATAACAGGCAGGAAAGGAAACATAAACTTGATTTACTAGCCTGTCTACAGAAACAGATCACAAAGGATGAAGTATTGATCAAAACAGATTTTTTWAAAAAAACTTGGAATTTAATAATCGAAAAACTAATTTTAAAATACCACCCAACTGCGTAGAGGTCAATGAGAAAAAGAAATCAGCGCTGTCTCCTTACTCCCAAAATTTGCTTCAGTCACATAATTGATAATGAGGAAAAGGATTTTAATGTTTCCCATCACCAGCAGATAAAGTGTAGTTCCTTAATGTTTAGAAAGGAGAAGACTTTCCTAGGATTATCAGGAAATTGGGTGGGCTGTGACCTTCAAAGTACTGCATGGGGTTTACAGAGACACACAGAAGTAACCGGAATGAAAAAGAAGTCCTTTTCACCAGGGTCCAGCATAAAGCGTTCTGTACGTCAGCACTCAGGAGAAGCCATTAAAAATTCTCATAAAGTTTGTAACATTTTTTTGCTCCAAGAGTTATACCACATGAATTGTCAGAGCTTGTGTGCTTATTTTAGAGGAGCGGAAAGTGACAATTTTATTAGGCTGGCAAGAAATTCTCAAAATACACTGTAATCTTAACATGGTATAAAATATCAGCTCTCTCCAAAACCTGGCAAGTCTCACTGTAGCATGAAGGGGCCATCACTTCCTTTGAGCATCCTAAATAAGCTCCTACTTGTTAGTAAGGTGCAGAAAAGACTTTCACAGATGAGATCGAAAACCTAAGGTTTCTACAACTACAAACTCACATTTACAGCTTATATGGAATTCTGTATATAAGTGAAAAAAAATCTGAAAACACATGCAGTTCAATAGTAAAAGCAATGCCAAGAAAAGTCTCTGGTTGAAAAAATTATCAGCTGTTTAAATTCTTTCATCATCATGAAACAGCAGCAATCACCTACTCTTCCCTGCAGTAAGAAACATCCTTCCCTCTTCCAGATTCAAGCTAAGGCATCTGTTGCTAGTAAGGCCTTAATGAGATACTAGATGTTTGTTTTCATTTATTACTGATGGTTAAATATAAAAAAAAAATTATTTGTATCATGCAGCACTGACGACTTAGCCGTATTTCCATATTATTCCTTATTATACTTGATTGACTATGGCAAACATTTTGTTGTTTCCTTATTAGAGCATCTTTACGTAGTGATAAAATGAATTTTAATTTTTGTAATATCTATACAGAAGGAGTAGAAAACACTCTGATCAAAATCTTTTATGTTACATCCTTAGAAGTACTGTGGAAACCCAAGCCTAGTCTATATAGGAGGCGGGAAAAATGCAGAGCAACCCTTTACAGCACAAGGAACACATGAGGTGAGTAAACTGTCCCCTTTGTACTGATCTTCTGTTGGCTCTGTTAAATCTCCCCTGATTTTCTCCTGATCCCACTGTATAAAATGGCTACATTTAACGCATTTGATGTTTCAGGCTTCGAGATCAGGCTGCATCAGACCTAAACAATAATCCTAACAAACTTTCTTACCAACAAAAAGAAGTGTGAATATAAGAGTAAGCTGGTAAACAGCATGGCCCAGAATGTTCTTCATCATGGTGCGTGATATAAGGGGTTTGTTTCGGCCATATGGCTTTCGTAGCAGCAGGGCTTCTGTCGGGGGCTCCGTGGCCAGAGCGAGTGAGGCAAAGGTGTCCATAATTAGATTGACCCACAACATCTGCACAGCTTTTAGAGGAGAGTCCTGTGGAGACACATTAGAAAGTTAACTACATCCTGGAAAGATACCAGAATGAGCTTTGTCAATTCATTTATTGTCCTTCCATCTCACTGTGCAACAGCAAGCACTACAGAAGACACGATACTAAAATACAGACCTTTGCTCAGTCCCAGTACTATCTGTCTTGTATTTCTTACGCATCTACATAACATCATGTTACGAAACATCTTTATTTCTTTTGGGGCAAAATGAAATTATTCCACTGCATTTTTTCCGATAAGGAATATTTACAAACACACAAATCTTACAAAACATAACATTAACCACATTATAATGCATTCTATAATGTGTTATTTTCAGCGTCTTGCTCGAATTCTCAAATAGGATTAAGATAACTACGTATTTCACCTGGAAGAAAAAAATAACAGTGTAAAAGTACTGTTTCACTCATTAAAGCTCATTAAAACAGGATAGCATTTGAAACTATGGAATAAAAATGTTCACTAGATTAAAAAAAAGAATTACTACTTGTCAGGATTATTTCTGTCCGGATTAGATCACCAACCACTAGAAGGAGCTCTTCACTTACATCAAGAAGGAAAAATTCTATGGTCATATTACAATGGACATTAGATGCTTAGATGTTTAGAGCAAAACAAAAATAACACATATTTCAGGAGAAAATGCTGGTGACTGTCTACTAGAAGGGTTTGGCTAATGATCTCTGTAATTCCTTAGGGCAACTGTAATAATACCCTTTCGAGTACTTAGTAGTATTTCCTTCATAATTCACAACTTCTTAAAACTCTAATTAATAAGGGTGCTAATCAAAAACATGAAAGTTTCAAGTTCAGAGTCCTCCTTATGCAATGTATTTTATCATGATGCTCTAGCAAAGTAAATAGATACCCAGTATACAAGCCAAATCAAGACCAAAATGAAACATTCGTAATGTAAGTTCAAGAAGTGAGGGCCAGTATCCATTCAGCATCCAAAGTAAGGTTAGAGAACAAGAGCAAGTCATTTGTATCTGGTGACTTTCCCTCGAGATAAGGGTGCTTTGTCTTTTTTTTGAGAAATATCACTCTAAAACTTAGACTCACAGATACTTTGATATCTTTGATTTTATAAAGGTTATTCTTATTCGAAGGGAACGTAAAAAGCAGCCTACTATTTTTAAGCTGTACAGGTTGCATGCACTAGGGAAGAGAGGATGGTTAGTCCTTGGATCTTGGACCTCCTGTTGGATCCCTCCATGGATCACATTACACAGGTTTATCTTGAGAGTTTAGTTTGATACGAAGCTCCAGAAAAAGGAAATGTATATATTGTTAGAGATACCTAAAAAACTAAACCATAAACAATCACAACGTGGTCACAAATTTGAGATCTCATTATTAATGCTGATGACTCAAACAAGGAGGGCACTTGTAGTAAAAGCAATTTCTGAGGACTCAGAAAACTGGACCAATATAGAAAAATAAGGAAAGCATGCTTTCTGTTGGAGAATTGCCTTGTTTCACCTGCCTGATTAATAAGTTTGTTTTCAGAAACATCCTGTTCTTCTGAGATATTCTAGAAGCTGAATTTGTTACTTCCTGTGCTTCCATGTCAATAGAAGAAATGTGTCTGCTATGGATATATTTAAGTGTCTAACAGCCTGGCATATTCCTAACATAACAAGAGGTCAAATTATCTTGGTCTCCAGATCTGTGAATTCTCTCAGTCTCTAAATCACACAACTGTAATTGGCAGTTTTTGGCAACAGCATGTTCTCACCATTTCACACTGCCAATCACCTTGGGTGGCTATGGTGCCTCTAATAATCATCTATTATTGGCACTGCTACACTGTTCAGTCAACTGCGAAAGCTCATTCTAAGCTAAAGCCAAAACATTAAATACACATTACTCTGTGAAGGCAGTGGAATGAAATTTCCACTGCAGCTCTGTCTGATTTCCAGTTAGTTGTGGAAACTGAGGAAAATACAGGCTAAGGAGCTTTAGCCTTCCATTACAGATCTTAGTCACTTATGCTGTTAAGCAAGATGCAAATTCAGTGCTCTTTTCACTCTAGGTTTGCTACTGAGTAGCACTTCATTCACTTTTGGACAAACTTCATGTATGAAGGCTGTTCAAACTGCAAACCACCCAAAAATCGCCACTTATTTGTCAAATTCTTTTCCACTTGACCTTGGAATAGGTAAGCATTGGCCTAAAGGTAAAAGGAAAATGTCCCTTAAATCAACTGATATTACACTTCATCTTGGAAATACATAAAAGTACAAATCACCAAAGGCTGGAAATAAACTACAAATCCTTTGTGACATACAGAGCCTCAAAAATTTTAGAGCTTGTTAATTTTGATTTAGTTGACAAGTTGTAAGGGAATATAAAGGTGTTCCTGCTCTTACCTCTTTACTCGCATTTGTCAAGAAACACACAGTTTCACAAAAATAAGCAGTTCTGTTAAGTTAACTTTATATACATTTACACACACAAAAAAACAGTCCTCGCTTAGCTGCTGCTAAATCATACTGTCTACACATTGACTAGAAGTGGCATTCTTGATTCTGCTTCCAAGCCTCTTAATCTTCAAGAAACAGAGCTGAACAATAAATACTTCAATTTTGAAGTACAGCTTTTTCAAATTTGCTAGTGCTGTTTTTATAGGATTTGTCAAATAGAGGTTCTGCAGTAAGAAGTTACAACCATGTAACTTCTCCAGTAACTTCATGTAACTTCTAACCACTTGCCATGTAAATAACTGCCTTACACATGGAAGGGAATACATCATTCTCATTTTCTGAGCAAGTTCTGTGGAAACAATAAGTGATTCATGCAGCAGTTTGCTCTGTGTTTTTAATTAACATTTATTTTTCCAAACATAATGCTCTGTAGAGTCACTGTTTTCGGTTCCTAGTATGTGTTAAAACATTAAGCGTTTCTCTAAGTACAAGAAAAATAATTTGAATATAAAATGTTATAGGGATTTGGTTTTTCTTACTCTACTGCAGCCTTTTTGAATAGCTATATTGTTTCAACAGCTGGAGATAGAGATTTTTAATTTGGCACATAAATAAATCTGCCAGCTTTATAGTTCCAATACCAAGCTGCTTCCATTTGCCTGAACTGTATGTTTTAAAAGATTATTTTGTACATAACCCTAGTATTTTTTCAACAGCTGCAAATATAATGACGCAGTATTTTCTTGGCACTGTGTATATGCTGGAGAAAGGAAACAAGGTGAACTTTCTGGTCTTGTGAGGGATGCCTGGATTTCCATAGGATAATTGAGGATGAGTAGCACTGACTAACTGAATTCATTATAATTGTCGGCAGAGCTCCCCGCCCCCCCCCCCCAAAAAAAAAAAAAAAAAAAAAAACCATACAAGATGCATCTAGGACTCTGCAACCACATGTTATCCAGTGAATGAAGTCAAATAAATTAAAAAACCCTGTACCTCCTTAATCCACTGGAAAAAGAAATGTTGATTTAACGTGAAACGTGATCCTTGCTAAATAGAAAGGAAAATTATATGTCAAACTGGCCAAGATCACCACATCCTCACCATTTTAAAAGCATGCACTGGACAATACACAAAGGTAAATTTATTAGATTATTTGAAAGTTAATCAGTTAATTAGTTACAGCCTAGGTGCATTTTATCACACAAACTGCACGAACATGGGACAGACCTCATGGCCCTGATGCGTGTGTGGTGGCTGCACAGTAACGAGCACATGGGCAGTCACTGGCTGCTGAAGCGCATCTTCTTTGATGCTTCATATAATCCTAGAGCCACGATGCAGAGGTTGATTATTAGTCCAAAAAAGGATTTTTGGGCTTGTATATTGAGTTAGCAAAAGCAGAAGAAAATGGGAAACAATGTAAGCAACAATTCTCAAAACGACACCAGCCTGCCTGAGGTGGCTAGTACACAGCACTAATTCTGTACTTCCTATGTCCTGCAGGATCAAGACTGAATGAAATTGTCTATTTAGTTGCAGTCCACATTAGAAAAACGAGGCAAAACAAATCTTTTTTTTTTTTTTGTCTCTTTACCTTCAAGCCTAAGGAAAAGAAATACCAAAAACTGAGTCATTAAATATAAATTTAATTTCATGCTTAAAACATCCCAGTATGCAAGTTCTGAATTCCAGGACAAGTGTGTTTTGAGAGCCCTGATATGAGGCATGGAAGAAATGCTACAACCTAATTAGAGGTCTAATGCTACAACCTAATTAGAGGTCTTCTTATTCTTGTTACGATAAAATATCACAGAAAGGCTAATCTGTTACAATATTAACCTGAAGAGTAACTGTAGAAAAAAAATATGTTCCATGTGTCAAAAAAGCCAAACTGACTATGTAAAAAAGACAAAGTAAAATACAGTCAAGTGCAGACTTCATTATATTCATTTTCAAGGTCACAGAAAGCTGTGTTGCCTTTTCGATTTTAACTCCATTTATTTATTAAGAACTGTAGTGTTTCAGTCAAAATTACTATTATAAATCTGTGTACAGTTTTGCAGGCTGTTATATCTAATTGGGTGTACTCAGCCTGTTGCACCCCACATTTTTCAGGGCATTCATACATTTTGTACTAGTGCTATTTTTATAGCAACCAGAGGGTACATTATATTGCCAAGTGAAATTTTTAGTAAAGCCAAACAAACAATGTCCTTTCATTGGCTAGAAACTTCTAAGTAAAAGCCTAACATAATATTGTTCATTCTTAAGGCAATATCCTTGTTGAATGAGACAGAAAGGAGAACTCGAGATTTATCAGCATTCAGGCAATTGAGAGTAAACAGGACTCCAATGAAAATCAGCTGCTGCCCTTTTTTTTTTTTTTTTTTTTTTTTTTTTTTTTTTTTTTCAGTTTTAATTTTAGTTCCTTGCAAAACTCTTCCTTTGGGTTTGTGGTTTTAATGCTAAGTAATTGTATAAGATGCTGTTGGGGTAGAAATACAACAATTCTAGGAGGACTACACAAAAAAAATCTATAAAAAAGCAACAGTGAAGTTGAGATGCTCAGTCCTGGGCTTCCTTACAGACCCCTGGAGCAGTATACACACTTTGAGCCTAATCCAGATCCTTTCAGAAGAAAATGGAAATGATCCAAATAAGAACAAAGAAAGGTCCAGAATTAGAAAAGGGAGCATGCTGCATGAGCATGCACATTACAACTACTAAGACTTGCTTTAAAATAGTCTCTCTTGTCTCACGCTTAGTGCGGAGGAGCTAGATGATGGCAGCTCTGTTCACTCAGCTCTTGCAAGGGTGCTTGCTGAAGGTGGGCCCCGACAGACTTCATGCTCAGCACAGATGAGGCCTCTAAATGTCAGGCAAGACTTGGGAGAAATTTTGACGTCATGGTTGTGTAGAAGTACCTGGGTTTCTAATTTCGAGTAGCAATTCCATGATTGCAATGTAAATTTACCCTGGAGCAGAGCTAATGACTTACTGTTTTGCTCAGGTGGACATGAGATGGAATTTACCTGCATCTGTGCGATGCGCAGCACGCGCAAGCATCAGCTTTCCCACAGTGTGTGCTGCAGCCAAAAGAGGCCTCCTGTAACAGCACCTTTCTGAGGCTTCTCTTGGAGTACATGTTATTTTAGGGTTAGCAAGTGATAGTACTAAAAATAGCATGTTTTGCTGTTTTCTAATGAAAGAGGAAACCCTCATACTTGAAGTGCATCCTGTTTTCTTGATGAACCAAAGAGAACTTAATTTTTTAATCAAAATGTAGCAATATGACAAACTACTTGGTTTGTTTTCATGTAAGCTTCTGCAGAAGACCTAGATATGTTACATGCTCATCAGGACTGCAACAGAGATTAATCTGGAAGGAGAAAAAGAGATTGAAGTCCAGCTGTATGTGCCATTTGATCATTTTGTTATTTGCCCTAAAATTCAAAACACTTGCCTTAAAGCAACAAAATAGTTATCATCAGTCTAAAAGCTTCCCTGCTAGTGTTACTTCTGTTTGTCAGCCCTTCTATCTTAAAAACAACAATCTTACTACATAAACCATTCAGAAAGGTGCCTTTAATCATGAAATACTCTGAAGGGAAAAGACAAAGACATATAACCTCTTCTTTCTTGCACTTCCTGACATTCTCTGGCCTATCACCGCAAGCTCTGCTATGACCAGAATAATTAAAACGAGAGAATTGTATGGAGACAGCATCCAAGTTAATAGGTCCTACATGCAGTTTATTTCCAGGAGAACATGTATCAGGATGTTCCTTTCTGTCAGGAGGTATTCACATTTATCAGCTTGATGCTAAGCACTTCCTTCAGTTTCTTAAGAACTTCAGAAAGCCTTCTGCTTACAAAGTAAGAATTAAATATAAACCTGCTTCACTGAAAAGAAAAGGTAGCCTGGGAGGATTTGCATGAGGTTCCCCTTACCTGGGTAATGCATGCTCCAGTGAAAGCCACAATCACAGCCACAATGTTCACAGTGAGCTGGAATTGCAGGAATTTGGAGATACTGTCATAGACATTACGGCCCCACATTACAGCTTTCACAATGCTACTGAAGTTGTCATCTGTGAGGATAATATCTGAGGCTTCCTTTGCAACATCTGTACCAGCAATACCCTGGAAAAAAGTATTTGTGAATAAAATTACCTACTAGAAAATACAAAGATGATTAGAGCACAGACTTCTGCCTGCTCATTCAAAAACCACAGTTACACAGAGACTCCCCAGCACAGAAACAGGGACTGCTGAGTATATTTTGCATTGTAAATTTGCTAGGTAATTGGTAAATTGAGACTATTTTGAAAAAGGATAAAGAGGTGATGGAAAGCAGTGGAATTTATATGATGAGATAAACCGATAAATTATCAGTTTACTGACTACTGAATTGCTGCTTAAGCTACTGTTGCTATCCTGTTTATTAATATACATGAACAGAACTGCTAACATAAAGTAGTATTACGTATCTCTATATACTACAGATTCTTAGTATGTCTTTAGAGGTAGGATATGTTGAGAAGATAACATCTATGCCTACAGTGACAGATTTTACCAAATCAAAATAGTACTGAACTGCAGTGAAGAACACTTGAGTTCATTTCTCTAACCAGCATAAAGTTACGTGTGTATTCAGAAATTACCTTAGATAAAATACTGAAAAAATATAAAAATAAGACCTTAGTGGTTGTCATCGTAAAGGATTCTGAAGCAACATAACTAGTTGCCCTCCAATTTATTGCCCGACTAATAAAGTAATAAGTAAACTAATTTTCTCAACATTTAATTGATGTTAAGCTCAACACTGAAGCTCTGTTATGGCAAACACGGTATGGCAAGTTTCTAGTGACACAAACAGCAATAAATGTGCTTAAGATTATACCATTGCAAAGCCAACATCAGCTTTTTTAAGTGCTGGTCCATCATTGGTCCCATCACCAGTCACAGCTACAACCTGTCTCTGTTCCACCTGTGTGCTGTCAATAATACCTGCAAAAAATGTATATATGTATCTGTGTATATACATGCATATAAAATAATCAATAACATAAACGTTCCTTACAAAGAGCAGCAGGATCTGTGTAATACAGCTAGTGCAAGTCCTACAGGCATTAGCAGAGTTTATTCCTAAGGAAAATGAGCAGTGTCATCACAAATGTATGCTACTAGACATCGCTGCAAGAATTCCTATGGAAAGGTTTGATCCCGCAACATTAAAACATCAACAAAACTTGCATAGACTTCAGAGGTAATGAGAGCATCTCTACTATGTAAAATCATGCATCTAAGACAAACCATTTCAGTACAAGTCTCTGATTAAACTTCATCAGAAATATTTCGCTGAAGACTTTAGATAATCCTTAAAACTTTCCTAATTTGTCGTAACTGTAATATCTCTTTCATTAGGAAGTCTTTCAAAACCAGTTTAAAGTAACAAATGGCATTGATGAATTTTAAGCATTTTAAGAGAAACATGTGCTGCTCTGCCAAACAGAGATTACAAAAATTCATTAAATTATGGAGTCACACATTTTAATGCAAACATCATAATAATTTATAGTCCTTTCTCATAATTAATACACTTTAAACAATCGTATTTCATACAACTAGCAGAAAACAACTTTATTTTCCACCTATGCGGATGGGGAAAATAATGCATGAAGAGCATATATAAGGTTACAGAAGCAGCTCTGTGTTTTAATTGGATGGAAACTGTTCTCCAGATGTGTTTTTCATGTCAGTTTCCTTTGTATATAGGAACACAGGTTTCTGTACAAGGCAGAACAACAACTCTCCTTATTAACAACTTTGGAACAGAAATTCTGTCATTCTTTTGCCCCATTTATTTATTTATTTTTCTCATAAAACTGTATCTTATCAAAAACAATTACCTTACCTAGTCTGAAAAGTTGCCGTTCTGCTCTGGCAAAAAAATAGCTCATATATCAGATAAATACGTAGGGATAGGAAATGGCACATGGGAGAGGAAAAGGTGCCTTTTTGCAAAGTTCAGGCTTAGCGGAGACCCAAAGACTGCAAAGCAGTACAGAGGCAGCAGATTTGTGTTCTTTTTGATGTTAGGAAAATCAGAGGGGGGGAAAAAAAAAAAAGCTTCCCACTGGCAGCATAGTCTTAAATTGCATACTATTCTGATAATGTCTTTAATATTTAGAGTTTTAGAGTTTTTGCTAGAGTTTTGCTATTACTAAACAAGCAGAAACACCTGCTGCGCTTCCATTTAAAGTATTTATATTCCTGTTATTAACATAGTCAGTGATGTTAAATTAATACTGTAAGCTTCTGCAGAAGTACCTATTAACAGCTCCAAAGAGCTAAAGAGCAGGAGGCTTGAAAAATCAGTCCTACTTCATCTTTGCTTTTAACCTCTCTCATTTGGATCCCCAGTGGGAACAGAGCCCAGAGGAAGGTCAGGGGGCTCGAGCAAATGACCTGCTAACGGGGAGGAGCAGCGGCCCCGTGCCAGTGAGCATGTTACCCCAGCCCTGTTCGTCAGCCAATTGCTGCATGCTCCTGGGTCATTTGTAAGGTTTAGGAGTCATTTACAAGGTTTAGTTGTTATCTTTATCTATCACAGCAAACTGGGCAGCTGTGATAAGCAAAAACACCCTCCAGAGCACAAAGCTGCGTAATTGGCAACCATGGAAAGGCAGAGATTAAATTCTCTCATTCCAACCACAGCCCAGCCCCTCATACCCAGCTAGGCAAACACTGCTGGTGCTGTCAGAAATAGGTCAAGTRCATGAGACAGATGGATCTGGATGGACTTAAGTGCTATTCTCAGGAAGAGAGAAGATCTTTGAGGAACTTTCATTTGTTTGTTGGCCTCATTTCTAAAATGGAACAGTATAATTTAGAATTCAGATGATTCACCATAGCTATTCCTCCCCCTCTTCCTCCTCACTTCCTCACATTGCTGAATAGTTGTCTTTCCAGCAATTGCCATTTTTTCCTCCTCTGTTTCCTTTTCTCTTTTTCCTTCTTTTCGCTTTTTTTTTTTCTTTTTGGTTTGTTTGATTCATATCTTTCTGTTAGGAAATGCTGTCTCTTCACAGTCTTGAGCTACAGAGAACTGCTTCAGTGATCAGTGAAGTTCTGAATAAGGCTATAACCTGACAGACTGCCCGTGAAGATAATGCCCAATTGTTTACTGTTCACTGGCCTTTTCATTCCTTATCAACAGCTAAGAAGAAAATTTGGTGTTAATCATGTCTAAGTGCCAGGACAATTCTTCAAAATACTGTAACTGAATGCTTACATACAGTATTTTAGTAAAACAAGTGTCTGCAAGGTACAGAAAAAGAATTCCTGAAATGCAGCAAATGTTCTTTCCAAAACAAATAGTGTTTGCTATTTCACTGCTCTATGCTGTCATATTAAGGTATCTGACAACAGTTTTTCTCTCCTAAAAATAATTCTGTTCAACAGAAAATACATCTAGAAATACATCTACAATTAGGGGAGTAGTACTGCATCCCCTGTAAGGCATCATGTTTTTCAGAGAAAGGCAACTTTGTTATGAGTTAGAGATTATTCTTCTTTTTTCATGAAACAGCTATGCATTGTTTAAAAAGATGCACTAGCCGCACAAGCCTGTTGTAAAAGATATCGGCATCAAATGCACAACTAGAGGGGAACCACATTACTTCCCACCTCACATCAAATAGATACAGCCATTCCAAATATAATTGTAAAGACTATTTATGAATAGAGTCTGTTGCATTTCTTTTACATGGAAACTCTATACCCATCACTCAGATCAAAAGCATCAAGGGCACAATAAATACCACTTTATTGTAACTTTGTAGAATAGACACTTTCAGTGTCACATTAGTAAGAAGCTCGTTGAGAGCAGAAAAGAATGGGGAATACTCGGCTACAGTAAAACACTTAAAGAGGTAATCTTCATCAGTTCAGGTATTACTGATGCAGGGTTGTTGATCATCCTGTATATCTACACATATTTACACCTATTTATCTGTCTTTGATCAGGTGAAAATAGATGATAATGAGGTCAGCAGTAAAATACCACTCTGCCATTATATTTCAAATACTTAGTAACAATGGTCAATATTAAATATGCCCAACTTTACTGAACATTAAATTCTCCTTTTCCTTTTTGGTAAAACAACCTCACAACAGAATAGAATATTAATTTTTAAGGAAATAATAAGTCCAAACTAATTTCTCTAATAAAATGAATAGTTAATATTTCCAATATCTTTTTGATAAACTGCCATATTTAAAATCAGTATTATGTAGCCGTTTGCTATATCATTTTTAAGAACTGTGGAATATATGAGCAACGTCATTACAATAACATATCAGTATAAGTGACTTTTGAAGCTGCATGTCAAATTAAGGTAAAATGCTATGAAATAATTCCAGTAGACTTGTTAAAGACGATAAGAACTTGTTTTTTAGTTAGATTTGAGGTATTTAAGAGAGACATTCAATTTGACATTTGTTTTTAAAACTACATCTACTTCAAAGCCACAAATATTTGAGAGAACACTATCTGTCAGGCTGCAATGCTGAATAGTGCCTTTCTGTAGTCTCTAACACTACTGAAGACAGAAATGCAAAATAAGAAGAATCCTTTTGCTGGATGGGATTGTTCTACGTAAAGGAGAAAAAAATACTCCCTCCAGCAGCTGTATGCCATGAAAAATTAAATATAAAAAAGTTTATTTTGTGATGTGTCTTTTTGCCCTAGAGCAGATAGAATACATCAAAGAGTGTCTAGAGTGACACTCTAGATCCCTCAAGTGTCTGAGAAACACTTAACATTTTAACAACAGGGCCAAAAGTAGTGAACATTTAAATAGTTTCTTGTAACTTTTAATGGCCCTTGGAGTATTACAAACAAAAAAAATGCATTGTTTCCATTGACTCATTTTTGAAATTCATTAGATGCTTGTACCATTTGACCTTGTTGCATTTCTAAAACTTCTGTGGTATTAGTTACATAAGGCATTTGGAGCAGTAAATGATTTTAGGACTATCAAATGCACAACCTATAATATTTATCAATAATTTGTTCCCTATTTCTTTTCAGCTATTCATTTCTTTAAAGGGAGGAAGGAAAAAAGTCTTAAGGCAAAATTTTGCATGATTCTAATGAGTACTCCCAAGGGATTTACTTAATCTGAAGTATCATAGAATCATAGAATGCCCAAGGTTGGAAGGGACCTCAGAGGTCATCAAGTCCAACCCCCTGCACATGCAGGGTCACCTAGAGCACGTGGCACAGGGCTGCATCCAAGCGGGTATCCATTTTATTTTATCTGATTTACCCAGGTCTGAATTAATCTGAACTTTCTGAAAGTATTTTTTTTATGGCCAGGAAAGATGCTATCCCTGATCATAAACTTGAATAAATTGACTTTTACGAGTAATGTTGAAGGTCAACAGAAGACCTTATCAAGCCATCAAGAAGTGTGGGTTACAGATTTGAGTAAGGCTATATAAAGAACACTGTAAACACATCCCTCTGTTACAAGAGGATTGCATCTGCACATGGTATGGTAAGAAAACATACTGTCCTGTTTTTATAGGACAAAACTAGATTCTAAATTTATATCCAGAAATTTAAAGGAAGGCCACGTAACTGTAGAATTAAATAAACCCATAGGAAAATGGAATTATCTTAAAATACCCATCTACTTGCAATTAATGCTAAAGGAACACCTAGTCATGTGATCTCAGTTGATTTGTGACAAGAAGTTTTTGTCTTAGAATGCTTTTTCACAATTATTGTCTGACAACAGATRCACAAAAACTTGTGCACTTGTGATTTACTCTAAATGAGCTTGTTCTTCTTTTCTTCATGAATAGGCATATACAAAGATGAGAAAGCCCATCCTCCTCCTTGTTTACATGAAGAGAAGCCAGTCCTCATTAGCGTTGCCCCCCGCACAGCAAACACATTCTCCCTTCCCACTGAGCCTCATTCTACTCTAATGCGGAGTCATRAGGAAAATAACATTACATTACAGGAAACTTGGCTGCCAAAAAAACTTGCTTGAGCTGCATATATAACACTGATACATCATTAAAAACAACAGCTCAGATATTGTTTTAACAGTTCACAATGCAGTCAAGTTAAGCACACACACAAGTTAAGCACACACAATTTAATGCTGTTATACGCACACTCACACAAAGATTGTGCTTACCTTTCACCAGAGTGTGTTTGTCAGTGGGAGATGAGCGAGCAAGCACACGAAGCTTTGGCCAGATTTTGTCAATCCGTTCTTGCTCAATCTGAGAATAATAGTAACATTTTTAGTTTCTGGTGAGGAAAATTCAGCTATATTTGTTTCCATGTGGCAGATGATTCACTTCAACTACTCAGATATGGAACTTTCCTCTGAAAGCTCATAACGAATGACAGCAGTAACAATAAATACTGAAATGGAAGGCAAGGTCAAAAAAAAGTTTAAAAAAAAAAAAAAAAAGTTTTCTGCTAACCAAGATCATTGTTGACTATTGCAGGCAGATGTGCTATAGAATCCAAACAGTTTTCCTTACTGCCTTTATGGATAGTTCCACTCAAAAACATGATTTTGGATGAAAGAGAAGCCCTTTAATGCTGCTGAAACACATTTACCAGTAAGAAGCATTTTATAGGAGCATTTTGCTTGTGTAACTCCTAGTGATAAGAGCAAACTCAATATAGCAAATACTATGTTGAAGCAGTCTATCAGTTGTAAGGAGTAAATGACTGTCCATTAGTGATGAACTCAGAGACACAGCACTTTTTAAAAAGTTGGCTTTAATACTCTATATGCTACCTCCATAAGAGAAACTAAACAATTCATGAACAGTAGATTAAATGATGCAGGTCATTATACTAAGTGGATATACAAGTATATGAATTAGATAAAGTGGTATAAAGAACTGAGATKAGCCGTTTCTTTCTACAGACTGCATTTTTTAGGAGATGCAGACATAGTACTGTTGAGTTGTTTCTCCTCTTTGCCAACAAAACTCTTCTTCATGTGCTTGGATTTGATTACATATAAGGACCAGTGCTGCGGTTCAAAAAACTGCCAGCTGGTGCTAAACTGATAATCGCTCTGCACAAGCAATTTGCAAATGCATGACTACACTGTTTGCAAATGCATGGCAAGTGCAATGACTAGATTTTCACTAGCATTTTAGATTACAAAAAGTTACCGCTAGGGAGAAGTACCAGTCTCTCTGGGTAGTCTTTACTGAAATTAGGTATACACATCAGTGCAAAAGAAACAACATTTTTCAGTGTTCAGTCTATTTTTTATAACATCTATAGCTTTAGAATATGAATTACCTCTCCCTTCTCATTTCGAATCCTTCTGTTAAACTCTTTCCCTTCAAGGCAGAGAAAGTCTTCTCCTGGATGAATGATCCCACATTTTATGGCAATGGCACGTGCTGTGTTGATGTTGTCTCCAGTGACCATGCGGACTGTAATTCCAGCTCGCTGGCATTTTCTTATGGCTTCAGGGACCTACAAATGCAATATATCAGTGAAGGTTCCTAGATAAGAGATACCAGATGTTTCCTCACAGACTATTTTGAAATTGAGAAGCTTAAAGAAGCAAAAATGGATGTCATACATATAAAGGCTACCTGTCTTTTATTCATTTGAAGTTACACTGCAGGTGATTCAAGGGAGAACACAAAAACTTATTCATATCAGTTGGCAAAGGATTCTGCAAATAAGCTCTGTGGCTTTTTTGAACCTTTAGTATCAAAATAYAGCATGTTGAAAATAGCAGCTTACACATACATGACAACATGAACTGAATACATTTTTCAAAGAAAAATTATCTACTAATTCACACTTTTCAGAAAGGTTATCTAAAAAGTCATTTTAAGTTAAGAACATACAATAATTCATGCATATCATCAGGTGAAATTCCTAAATATACGTGAGGTTAAATTGATACCCATTTATGCTCATTTATACTCGGTTATGCTCATTTTGGTACTAGACTGACTTTTCCTGTTGCACAATATATGCAATGCAAGAATTCAATGCATAACCAGATCTGTGAGACTAATGTAGGACTAAACAGTGAACTGACATCAGATACAACTTGTATTGAATTTTTGGAAAGAGAATGTGCAAATGCTATTAAGTGGATTCCTAATAATTAAAGAAAGCTCTTTTAATACAGTCACCTGGGTGTATGAAGTTAAATGCCAATAGAAAGGTAATAGTTAGAATTCAGTGTTGGATAGAAAATAAATTCCCTTCAACTGCTATAATTAATGATAATTTATTGCTTATTAATYACTCTAAAACAGTGAATGCAGTTTCATCATGGTTTTGCGTGTGCCTTACATAAAGGTAGGTATCACTGCGGAGCTACCAGCTCACTCTATCATAAAGCTCAATGCAAGTTAGTGGATTGATCTCATTGAATCTCATTTCCATGCAGCATTATCTTGTACATTGGTAGGTTCCTTTACTTCCTTGAGAGCTGCAAGCGGGAGCACTGCTGGGGCAGGATGTTGCTACCACTATGGCCCAGCATGGCCAATGCTGCACCTCAGATGATTTCATGGGGCCAGCAAGGCTGCTTCTTTACAAAAGTTCTCTTTAACCTAACATCTAGAGGACGACTGGATCAGTACTTTTCTCTTGACTATGAGGAAGAWCACTCAGACATGCTGTTTGTGGAATGAGACTGTCTAGATGGACTATCCCAGCAAGAAGATGATCACTAACAGAGGTTTAGTCTTCCCCTGAGTTGTATCCTGGAAGACATTGCTTGGAGTACTGRAAGAGTTTGTAAAGTTATGAAACAGCTTTCAAGAAGGAATATACAAATGGATTACGTGCATTACTTAGGAAAATGTCTTCTGATTTGCCCACATTGATAATGCTGATTATACTTCATTTGCCAGTATGAAATGCCTTTAATATCTGCTTTGGCTTTGGAGACCCTCACGAATGGAGTATAATGGGTTGGAGCAAGAATCAGGAAGGAGAAAAATAAATTATAGTACGAACACAAAACCTAGAAATATTCAGATAAAATGCCAGTCCTATTCAGCAAGGTCATGGGAGGACAACCTAATTTCAAATGTACCTCAAACTCATACATGAAAAGAGAAATAATTCTATTTTCCTCTTATTTTTGGACAGCTGGTGGGTGGTATCTGGTTGAACACTCTGTACAGTAATTATGGCTAAAATATTGTTCATATTCTTTTATTGCTATAGGGAAGAGAGAGTGTTGGCAGACTGAGTAGGCAGTGGAAGCAGACATTTTCCATCCGTTTGCAGAATGTAAGTATACAATTTAAAAAATAGATTTTATTTTCTTTCATCAAAGAAAACCTTTTAATGCATGCATGCCTAAGTTACCCAGCTAAACACATGTAACACGCATTGGAATCAAGTGACAAACAGGTGAAATTTCTGTTTTTCTCTCCAAGAAATAACAGATTGTAGTTGTACTCTGGCGAACTATTAACAATCAGACTCACTGAAATCTATTCAAAAAGGCTGTCGAACAGACAAATCTCTACAGGCGCAAGACATGATTCTGTTTGGTCTTGATGCAAAAACAGCATAAACACAGATGTAATAAAAAAGCAAAATATCTAGCAGGTAGTTCAGTGAATGATAAAAGAGCTACTGATACTGAATAAATCAGAATTTAGCCTCTGAATTAATAAACCTAAGTAAACAAGGTGGTGTGCAGTATACAGCATAAAATTCCCGTATCTCCCCTAGTTTAACTCCAGTTCAAGCTGGCCAGCTCCTGGACATGACTGTTGCATGATTCATGCAGATGAATGATTCCCTTCAGCCAGGGAAGCCAAAGTGGAGCAAGTGCAGGGCAGCAGCCTTGGAGCGTGTTCGGCACAGGCACGGTGCTCTTGCCTCTGAAACCAGGGCCAGTGGGACAGCAGTGACGCTGCAGGTGCTCTTACATCCAGCCATGCCAGGGATACACACTGGCAATGGCACAGGAGGTGGCTGGCAGCAACTATTACAATTTCTTGTGTGTTAGTTCCAAAGATCTTATTAAGGAAAAGGAAAAACGGGGGCTTTCCAAGTAAAAAAGAAACTTAAAGAAAACTAAAGGCCATGAGGTGGGTGACATTGCATTGAAATTACCTAATTACCATATTTGACAGGATAAATATTAGCAACACTCTCATAATATTGCTCATTTTTTGGTTCTTTTGCTCCTACAGGAAACATTCTGAAAAATCATAAAATTCAGTGGTCTCTAATAAAYGTGCTTATTTCTGGCAAAACAGGAAATCACCGTATCAACATATTAACTATTGGCAGCTATACTATAATTTTACTTATACTTTCTTCCTACTAGGTCAGATACTATATGCCTAATGGGTGTTCTGAAATTTTTATTTTTGTTCTTTAGTAGATTTTTGGGGAATATTTCTTCCTCCTAAGGTCTCCAGTTCAACTAGTGAAGTGGCAACTGCTTTTGTTAAACAAAAAGCTTCCTCCAAGATTACTTGTGATTTATGTGGGAAGGGTCAATAATCACTGCACTTACCAAACTGCACCTCGCCAAGGAAAAAAACATGCTCCGTCTTCGGGAGTRTAACACAACTAGCTCAATTTTCAGCTCTCAGGGAAGTGCTTTATAGCATAGGCATGTGACATACCTCTGGCCTTACTGGGTCTTCAATGCCCACAACGCAGATGCAAGTCAGGTCTGATAAAATGTCGTTTTCGTTGTCCCAGTCGGGCTCTGGGCTGCTGCTGAAGTCCCGGAAGGCCACACAGATCGTTCGCAGGCCATCGCAGGCCATGGGCTCTATCACTTTCTTCACCATTTCATCACGGTCCCGAGGTCTGAAGACACGAGGTTCACCAGCTGCATTAAGGATCCTGGAGCATCTTTTTTTAGTTTAAAAAACAAAGTATATTTTAGTATTGTCAAATTGTTCTGCATTRTCAAAGCAGAATAAAGCAGTATGCTGGACTTACTTCTTGAGGACAATCTCGGAGGCCCCTTTGCTGTACATTCGGAAGCTGCCATCAGGCATTTTAATGACAGTACTCATGGACTTGCGCACCGAGTTGAAAGTGTAAACTTTATAGAGCTTCTCCTCGGGGATTTGGTTGCGCACGGGCTCATAATCCTGCTTCAAGTCCAGGACAAACCCCAGGAGGCCGCACTCTGTCTTATTGCCCACTTGGCGAGGCAGCCCACCCTCCTTTTCTGGTGGCTGAAGGAAAGAAAAAAAAAAAAAAAACAGATACGATTTCATCTCACAATTAGCAGTATGTAATGACTTCTGCCCGATTTATGACAAAGCTGCAGTGTAGGGTTTGAGATTTAAACCCCTCGCARGGCAGTCACCTCTTCAAATTTTTAAAAAGTAGCAAATAACTCACAGAGTTATAACTGAACAGAAGCAACTATGCTCATAACGAGGAAAACTCTCCTGTTCAAATAAATACATTTGGTCTCTTTTTTGTTTTAAATTAGCCAGAAGCAATTGAAGAGCTTGTTGTGGTTAGGCAATGTATCATTAAAAAGTCCTTTTCTTTAGGTTCTATATAATTAATTCTCATTTGTCACAAACAGAATTATTTTCTTTTATCACTTGCTTAGAACTGTTATTTTGCTGGCTTTCATGGGTATAATGGTCAATTAAAGGAAGAGATGTCCTTTCTATCTACCAGGCGTTTTATATTTTAACATGAATCTACATCTAATCACAACAGTAAGTTTCCATTAAAAAGGTATGTCAAAGAATCTCTAAAATAACATTTCTATATATCAAAACAACCATTTCTAGAATTACCATACTTTAGTCTGCTGCATCAGACAGTAAAAGCTTATATATTTGAAGAAAAAAAAGGGGGGGGGAGGAAGGAAAGATAAGAGCATTAATCATTTTGCAACTCTTGAAAGTTCTCAGCACTTGGCAATTTGCTCAGACAGCTTGCACTTCCTGTTCCAAGCAGGAAGAGGAAAAATAGAAACCACCACTGATTTCATTTACAAAGGTGTTTTCTTTTCTTTTCTTTTTTTTTTTTTTTCCTTTTTTTGCAATTGAATTAATTTGCAATACACCTCAATGCCAGAAGTTGCTGTGTTGGGGGAGATTTCAGGCAGCCTGAAGTGATGAGGATGGGAGCTACCCACTGCTGCTAACTTCATTTTCTTGCACTCAGCAGAATTAGGGAAATGGTTGCTTAACCTAGGTCTAAAGCTGAACCTATGGGAAGCAAGAGAAGGAAAAGTCCTTTCACAGCTTACAAAGTATCACACCATTGCAAAAAAGATTTTGGGTTGACTCAAGAAAACACTGAAGTGTTCAGTGACTGAAACTCTTGCCTGCTTTGCAGAATTCGGGTTGCAATACTGTGGCTAGAATTATGACCATGTTCAGGCTTTAGAGCCCAGCATACCTGGYAGACAGTCATGGAATGAAGGACAATGTAGAGAGCGATAAGCGCAAATTACAAACTAGTAATCCTACTTAAATTTTAATTCTTGCAATAAGTGCTACCACAAAAAGGGGAAAAGAATACTTTAAACTAAGTATTATCAACTAAGTATTACAGAGAACCACCCACCAACTGCAGTGGGTTTAGGAAAGAAGGACAGATAGAAAAGAACAGACTGACCTAGAACTGAGGTTAGTGAAAAATCCAGCTTTTCTGTCAGAATCATCTCTCCATCAACAGAAGTATTTTTGGTATATAAAGTGATTTCTTTTTCTGAGTGAGATTTGTCTATAGAGAGCAATATACTGTAATCTAAAAATCTCTATCCCAGAGAGAATTCTCTTTCCAAAAATAATGGTAGCAGCTCTAGCTCCTACATACATGATCCATCTGAATTATGAGTAAATGTAGAACACTGCCACGCAAATACAGTAATACAATATAATAATTTTATTACCTTCTGCAGTCATTTTCTCTAGTTCTTTTTACACTGTTGTAAATTCCTCCCAGATCATAAAAATCACTTAAGAAACTCTAATTTCCACATACTCACAAGCCAACTGTAGCTATTCCTGTCTGACAGAACTGTTACATTCAAGGAATATGAAGATATTAGGTAGGAGTGAGCAGAATATGTTTTAAAACAAAGTTTTTATAAACAAGCTAGGTAATAGGCATCACATTCTGGGCACAGAATTCTAGAAACATGCTAAGAACTTCACGTTTCCCAAAGCAGGCAGGTAAATGGCTGCACTGCCGTGATGCAGACTGATTATTCTGCACCCATCATGTCAAACCTCTTTCCCTTTTAGCTCTAAATTCTCATTCATGTTTTAGCTATCTCTTCCTCCTGAAATCAATGAATCTTGACATCGACTTCTATGGAGGAGGAAGGTCAAGCACACATTGGAAACCAGAGACAGACAGTAAATTTAATTCCATTGCAGATATACAAACCTAGAAAATACTTAGTTCATGTGTATGTTTTCAACGTAACCAGCTGTGAATGGTTATTTAAACAACAAAAAACTACTTACCTTTCACAGCTATAAAACTGAGTATCAGAGTTCTTCTACAATAATTTTATCTCACTTTTCACTTCTTACCGTGGTCTAAAAATAGATTTCTATTTAAGATACCCTACATATGCAAAGCATAAAATAATCCAGTAAAATGAAAATGCATAGACATTTCAGAAAAGTTTGAAAATCTACTAACAAGTGGCCACCTCCCTATAGAGCAGCTGCTGTCCCCATATTCTTTGTGCGCTACATTAAAATAAAGCATATGGTGGTGAGAGCTGGCAAATGGCACTTCCTTTGCCGGACTGTTTCAGCTCAAAATCTGTATGCCAAAACCAGTCTCACTGCAGATTGTTCTCGACAATCCTTCGCAGAAGCTGCTGGATGTTAAAACTTCATGCTGTGCTGTATCTAAATTTATTTCTGGCACACGACTGCAGTGCAAGGCACCTGCAAGACCATGAAAAGGAGAGGGCAAAAGGACTCCTTTTGAGTCGTTAAGAGGGAAGGGTTTTCTTGAAGATGGAAAAARAAACTCCCTTGACACCAGGGGAAAAGAGCCTCTGATTTGTGAAGGGGCACGTATATTTCAACGCACTTACTTCTCAAATACATGGTGCAAGAGCTGCTGCTAGTCACAGGACAGCTACACATTGTAAAACCTTGAGCAGGGATTGATTACCTTCTTTCAGTAATCACTTTCCACTAGTTCTTACAGACTTCAAATGTTTCTTCCAAGTCTTTGTATTATTTACATAACAGGATCCTAAGTGCACTTTAAATCCTCACATGTAAAACAAACTGCAGAATATATGTTTAAAATATATCTGTTACTACTATCAAACCCAAACTGGGTCAAAATATGGCTGTATTATAGGCTTAAAAATAACAAAAGCAAGCACTGACGTATTGTTGAATTCAGATCGCAAAAGGAATCTTCAAAATTATTTTTCTGGAAAACAACTGACGAGTAAGGGCAGGGTTAAAAAGGGAGAAAGGTGGAACATTCTGAGCCTGCCTTAACTTCAGCTTTTTACTTTTTGATTCATCTTTTTTCAAGGTTAACTTTTTATATCCTAAATTCAAATGTTAATATTCATTTTCTGAAGTCTTCAAATGTTTCATGTTATTCTTTGTGTTCTGTACAGACTGAACCAATCCTTTAGAATAATTATTATGAATACATCAACTTCTTGAACTAAGAAACTAATTTTGCCAGAATATTATAACCATAGTGAATGCTGTATTCCATCTCTATTCACAGAAGTCAAACCCAGAAAAATACATTTTTAATCAAATTAAGAAAAAATTACATGTTATTTTACTTTCTCTAAAAATAAAAATTAGATGTAGGATTTTTGTCTATATGGTTTTTGAAATTCAAAAATTGTTTCACAAATTTTACTTCACTTCTGTTCATTGTTTAGAAAGCTCTTTTTCTGACTTCTCTCTTGGCAAACAAGGCAATCTAAACCATGGAATTTTYCTTTGATTCTACTGACCATACATTGAACATCACACTGTAGGTAGACTCTGGCTACATAAGCTATATAACCCACCTGCTCTGCAGGAAGACCACAACTGACATACTGATTATACACATGAATAACACAGTACTAATTAAGCAAACTGCATTTTTAAATGAAATCTCTGAAACAATTCTTTATAAAATAAAAGGAAAGCAAGCACAWAATCAAAGCATCCTAAGAAGATATGGTTTCACTACAAATAGCTACCATCAGCTGTATGCAATTAAAATATTACTTCGTTTTTACAGGGTCATAATTAATAAAATCAATTCTATCTATTCTTGAAGACAAATATGGAAAAATAGTATTTCAGTATATAATAACATTCATTGAATGAGATCACAATTTCTCCCTACACAGTTTAAATTCTAAGCAGTTTTTAACATTGATGTGTGACAGTTGTCTCTGTTCTATACAGAAAATAAAAAGCAACATGTTAAATTAGAGATAATGCTTACTGATAGTCTCTTGCCATTTTATAACTCCAAATTATCACACTAAGATACAATGTTGTTAAAATTCAATTCAAGTCAAAAGTCAGTTTGAAAGGGGGTCAGCATAAAGGATTGAAAAAGAACAGTTAACTTCTTTGAGCAGGTTACATAATCATTTTGGCGTCAGAAGAAACGCACAGAACTAACCTTGTGTACCGTCCTCATCTCTTCCCTGAATTACAAGTCCAACATTAAAAGCTTAAAGCTTTTTTCTGACACTTATGCACACTGCTGAATAGACTCATGTAAATGTTCCTGTTCCATTGTATTATTGCCAATCATCAGAAAATAAAGTTTATTTTCTTTGTACCTTCAAAAGATTTTAAGTATTTATACTGTAACTGATACAAAATCTCTTCCTTAAAGCTCTAGCAGAATGCATCAGTTATAAAGAATATTCCTTGAGGTCCACAATTCTCTAAGGATGGACAACTCCTAAAATCCTGACTTGCGTCAGCTGGCTCCATAATATTTTGCTACCTCTGATTATGCATTGGAGCAGGGCTCTAAAACAGACAGTGAAAAACATTTGGGAGGCCTGTAATACATACTGGGTGTATTCTGGTAACAAAGACTGGCCATCAGTTTCCTAAATACAATAGGATTTATGTTTGATAACACTACGTAACAGTGTAATACAGGGATGTACAGAAGCCAGAAATAATCAAAGGGTGGCATGAAATCGGTTTTGAGGAATGGTAGTACAGCTCATCCAAAATTAAATGTACAGGTCTAAACAAGGAGTTTGAACCTGAAGAGTTTAATGATAGCAGACAGTGGGAAAAGGGAACGCGCACATACTCCCACTGGTGAGGGAGTGTTCTCCGAGCTCACCGATTACCAAGAGCATGCGCTGTATAAAAGAGAATTGGATGGGAAGAATCAAATAGTTAGAATGTGGTAGGTGAAGGAAGAGGCCTAATAACTCCCTTGAAAAATYGTACTATCCTTGTTTATCTGTCCTTTTTCTCATTTCTTCAGGCTCACAAGTTGAAAATACGAAATTTTAAAGAGAAAAAGTATTCAAACATGAATTTTTGCCTAAATTAAAATCATGCTGCTGTCCCAAATTTCAGGTCAAGCTGCTGTGACTGGGGCAGGACGTGACAACGTCTGCTGTCCTGCAGCCAGCCCCGACCACGAGCATCTGCAGGACAATGGGCACTGCGCTCTCCAGCGACACCAATTGAGGACTAAAAGTTGGAAATAGGAACTTGGACATCATTTAAAAATGAGGTCCCACTCTGGTAAGTTATTACTAAAAGTGGCTGGTGGGGCTGCCTTTCCCCGCAAACATGCTCCCACAGCAGGGCCCTCTCAGCACTGCCCAGTCCCACACGTGAAGACCTCTGTGTCACTGCCAAATCCCAGTGTCCGGGTATATCCGTGCTGCATGGCGAGCCTCCGACACGGAGCCCRGCTGGCTTCCCGGTCCCATTGCCAAAGCTGTAAGCTTATAAGCTCTTCATGCACTGTGAAGTTACTGCCTTTTGCCAGCAAACCTTACCTTTTTAATTGGCAAGCAGCTACTATATTGAGTCTTAGTTACTTAACAACCATTGAACTATCAGGGCTGCTCAAATTTCCTCAGAAATCGGTAATAGGAATTTTTGAGTCATTACTGCAAAGGGACTAAACCACTGTATATTTGATACAATAGCTACTATGATGGAATTAGGTAGGTACAGCTGACATAATTAGATTGCCACAACATTCATTTAAGAGGATATTTGGAGTCAGGCTTTCTGCATGAGATTAGCTCATGATTATTTACTATTTTCTCCTTTCTCTAAAAAGACATCTGAAAAAGATGGATCAATGTACTTAATTAATGTAGTATCATAGTAGGATGCAATTTCCGTGCTAGCACTTGAGATGGATTTAGGCTATTCAGATGTAATGTTAYATAAAAACTGCATATTATGACATTYCTTGTTGCCTCAAACAGCAGCAGAGCGATCATAAAAAGGAGCTAGCTGTAGCTATATGATGTTGCAGCATGACATTTCCAATCAACAGGGCAGAGTGAGGTGAGCAGCAGGCAAGTGGCTCAGTGAGTACAGACCCTCGCTGTGCTCACTGCAGCTCACATAGCAGGAACAAGGAAAAAATGATACTGCCCATAAATTCCCATGAGAGTGATTTTGAAAGATGAGGAAACCAAGCATAAAGAACGGACAGAGGTTGGTATCACTGTCTCCACATCCTGTCTGGACAATTATTACCTATTTACATACATAAAGAGCTGGCTTATGGTCACCTTGTCCTGCAGGACTCCCAGGTTCTTCTGCTCAGAGCTCTTTCCCATCAGGTCAGYCCCCAGCCTTTACAGGTGCTTATGTTTATTGCTGCTTAAGTGCAGAGCTCTGCACTTCCCCATATTGAACTTCACAAGGTTCCTGGGAATGGCAGCGCAGCCCTGGGATGCAGCAGCAGCCGCTCCTCCCGTTCCCTGCTGTGTGCGAGTGATGGGGGCGCCTGCCCCTTCCCTCGTGCTGCGCAGTCCAGCCCGCTCGCACCTCACCTCGCGGCCCCGCTTGGCTCCAAGCACAAAAATGAATGTTAAAAATGTAGACAAAACATTCATACAGTCTCTACATAAATTATCAGATACACAATGTGTAGACAAACCTAAACAATTTGCAGTGTTTATGCAAGAATATTATCTTTTAAAATGAAGAATTGGGAGTAATAATTCTGGCACAATTTCCAATTTTCTTGAGCTCCACAACTAGAGAAATAATAACTTGGATATCTTATAGTACAAGCAATATTTGAAGTCGTTAACTAAACTGAATTTAATTCTATTTAGCTATCTACTTAATTCATTTGGATCCAGAGCAAGGTGTCCTGGTTTCAAATTACATAAAGATTAACAATTACTTTGAGGAATTAACAACACATTCCAACATGTGAAACCAAACAGTATTTCTGAGGGATCAAATATTGACACATACGTTGTTCAGACAGAAGAAGTCATTAGCAATCTCAMGTTAACACACTCCGTGAGGTTTTCCTTTTCCTTCTCTGCCTTCATTTTAGCTCCCTAGTACTACTCCCTAGCTTTCATAATTTTTTATAAATACTCTGCRTGTCAAGACAGAAACAGCTAACACAGAAGGTTGGATGTCTTATATAAAAGATGAATTTTTTTTTCAAAAGCTTGCAAATCTCAACTGTGGCCAAAGAATGAACTGTGTCCTGCTAAGACATCCCTGAATAATGATACAGTTATAATTGAGATGCTCTAGCCTCCGTGTTCCTAGATTATAGTAAATAGAATCTTACAGATGCATATTTTTCTCCACACTTTCCACCAAATATTTTGTAAATAACTCATTCATCAGTATATGAGGTCACTTTCCTATTATTGACCAAAATTGTTCACACATTTTTTGCACAATACGTTATCGTTTAATGACAATTCGGGTTTTCTTGAGTTTTAAAATACATTTAATTCCCAAATTTGAAGTGCTAAAAACCTCCACCCTAATCCTATTGCACAGTAATTCACAGGGAACAGCCAATTAGACTGACACTAATGCCATTCCAGCTTTGTCCAAGTGCAACAAGAGCAGCACACACACATATATATAATCATATATATAATCAAAGTAATTATTAACTTAATTAACAGTCAAGTCTCTTTAAATACAAGGTTTAAGTCAATACTAACTGCAAAAACTGCAACAAAACAAGAATATTCTGCTTCCCAATTAAAAATGTTTTAAAACAGACCAGGCTGACAGACACACCTTTCAAACCAAAACCAAAATTGATGAAAATTAAGAAGTGACTAACAAATCTCACAGCTTCACTGATAATTTGTCCTGGAGATTTTGGAAAAGCTTGCTATATTTCCATACATGACAATTAAGTTGAACTTTCTGATTTAAATGCAAAATAGAAATTGCACTTAATGTAGAATTCTAATTGGTGCCTCCATAATGACTGGGTAACATCTGCTACCTTGTTTTAGGTCTATTAAACTGAGATTTTATGGCATGCAGATATCAGACTGGCTCCATGCATAYTGGAGACACAGAAAATATAGGAAGGAGACAAATACATAATGCTGACTTCGTCAGATGATGAAAATGCAATTTCAAAGCAACTCTTCCAGTTTAATAAGTCTACTTCTATCTTAGAACCAACACTAAGACTTACTGTGCTTTGCAAACATCAACCCCCCTCAGCTTTTAAATGTAAGGCAGGAGGGATACATTTTCTTTATCCATAGTAGTCAACTAACTAGCAGTTGTCCATTTGGAAAAAGTCTGCTGAGTCATTCATTCAAATTCAGGCAAACTGTTCTCTTCCTGCCATGGCCAGTCCTTCTCTCTCCAAGGTGCCCTATAAGGACCTCAAGCAATGCTTCTGAACGTGACTTCATTGAAATTCCAGTTACGCAGTATTCCTCCTTTTATAGTAACTGTAAACTCTCTCATTCAAAATCAGTCAAGCTTTCTGAAAAGCCCTCCAGTAAAGACCAAAGCGCATCTTATCCATGCTCTCTACTATCCATTGTATTTGATTTTCAACAACAAAAAATAACAGTGCACACCATCTGTTATGTTATCTAAATGCCATCTAATACTTATTTTAATTTGCCTAATTTTCTCCATGCCTTTTACTACTGTGAGCTGGAAAGAAGCAAGGCTACAAGTGAGATGTATGACCATTGCAGACAAGCCCTGATAACTGTCAGTACTTCTCCTTTGTCATGAAGAACATCACAAAGCAACTTAACTGAATAAGATGAACACCAGAAAAATAAATATGGCTTAGCAAAATGCACACACAGGTTAGTAGCTGTTCCAACAGGTAAAGTCCTGAATTTTTTCCACGCAAAGTATCTGTCAGAACAGTGCTGTCACTACTTGGAACGATGCTACAGAACAGTTTAGTTTTGACATATTTAGCACCAACTTTCTAGGACTAACTGTGCTTCAGAAGGCAAGGGAGGAAAGAAAAAGTAGTCTTTTGCTTACATTAAGAAAATTAGAATACTTAGTAAATGCTATTTTGTTCACAAAGAGTAACAACGCCAAAACAATTTAATGTCTTTTCAAGTCTACAAAGTAACTCCTGCACATTCATCGTTCTAAAATTAATAAGGTGTTTTCTACACTATATTGCTGATCTTTTGTACTTCAGTGTTCCTTTTTTTGACTCATCTCATGTTCAGAGAAATATTCTTACAAATTATATAGTATATTATTTATAAGCCATGTGTTATACAAATTGAACAGAATTAATGCTGTATTACATTATGCAACATTATGAGCTGATTCATCATCCACTTCTGTTTTCTAAAAAGGTTGGTTTTGTATCTTTGCTTTAGTAGAAAGCCACATTTTTTTCAAAAGGAAAATGGTATTAAATTAACTTTTGAAATTATTATCGTTCTGTTCCTGAACCATAGAGAACCCAAAGAAAACCCTTATTAAAACAGATGGACCTGAAGTGTTTTTCACCGATTCATGTAAAAACAAAAGCTCCCATCAAGACAACAAGCTCCCTGATAGTACTCCCATGAGCTTTTGTTAGCACTGAACTCTAACCACCATATCAGTTTAGCTCCAAACTGTCAGAGATTTTATCTCAGTAGGGTATCACAAGCATTAAAACACGTATTAATTATTCTCCATATCAGCTCATTTTAATTATAAAAAATAAAAGCGATCAGACATGAACAATCTGTAAGAACAGTATGAACAGTGTGTATGAACATGTATGAACAGTAGTTATATATCTAGAAGAAAACATTTTGCAAATGCTCAGGAAAGGCAAATTCTAAAGTCTTATTTGTAAAGAGCTGGCAGTTATCCCTAGAAGTGAGTCCTGTTGGACCAGTCCAAGACAAGTGGAAATTAAGCACTTAGAAGTAGCATAAATGACAGACAACCCTATACAGAAGTTGTCAGGAAAATTCTTGCTATGTCATAGCAATTTGAAAAATTAATTTACTGATTTTCATACATGCAAGCAGGAACTAACAGGGTTAATGGTATTACGGTCACTAAAACATCTGCAAGAGACTAGTCACAGTCATCTTGCGGTACCAGGAGGAATAAATAAAACGCACAGCCACCACAGTGTGACTGCAAAGCTGTGGGCCAGTTTGAAGCAGCTTTTTGATCTTYGTTTTCTGTAAGATGATATTAAAAAGAAAATAAGTAAGATTTAACTGGATTATAAGCTGTAGTAGCTAGTACTGCAATCCTTTGTCGTGCCACGTTCTACAATGCTGGATTTTTCTGCTTACCCATCTYTTCCTCCCACTGCTTTCTCCTCTGCTGCTGAGGCAGGAACATAACCCCCTTCTCCAACAGTTATGCAGGAGAGCAGGAATTATGGAAAAGCACTGTCAGTGAAGTTCATTGGATAGCGAAACTTCAGACTTGATGACCTCAAAAGTCTTTTCCAACCATAATAATTCTATGATTCAGTGAAACAACGAACTGTATCTGAGGACATTAATGTCACCTCCTCCACCAGCCACACTTCTCATGTGCTCTGAGGCAACAAGTCCTTCCTTGGACCCCTTGAGAGCAAAAACCGCAGCTGGCTGGCTCTGCACAACTGCAGTTCCTGCCATCCAGCTCTGCAAAAACTGCAGCTCTTGCTGGCCAGCAGAGGTTGAGGGGGCAACTCCAACCCCTGCTCTGTAATCCTGGCCTGCCCTGGCAGCCCCCTCCTCAAACAGCTTCGCCAGAGCTTCCAAGGGAAAACTCTTCCTGATTGGTGCAGGGAAAATCCCGACTGGAGAGCAACCCATCCCAAGCTTTTCCTACTCAGGTGTTCTCTTCTACACAGACTTACCTYAATTAGTAGCTGGGCATCTCTTCTATTGGCAATAACAGCTATACTTGTACTTCTCATTCTAAAAAAACCTCAGAGACAAGTCATGCATGAAGATCACTGCTCTCCTAATGACTATTCCTGCAGCGGGGACAGTTAATTAAGTGATCTGTTGCTACCACTCTAATTATTATTTACACAGTCATCGATATGCACTTATAGGCTGTCTTTTTATTGCCTATATTATTCTAAGAAAAAGCTTAGCAAATACATTATGAGAAAGTTCTAAAGGGGAAAAATATATTTTTTATGATTGTCTTGCTTATAACAAATATACAGAGAGAGACTTTGAGCTGCATTTTCAGTCCCATCATCTTGTCCCACATATACTATAAATCTACATTATATAATTACTTAATACGCCATGAACAAAAATTAAAAATTGAGATATGGAACAGATGAAAATTCTTGCAAAAGATGGAGATTTTTAGATTTCAGTTTGTCATTTCAGGTCTCAAAGCTCAGTCTATACCAATTCTTATGTCTAATAAGTAAGAGAAATTTGAGCAAGATACAGATAGAGAGATAAATAAACACGCTTATTTACAAAGGAAATAAAACACAGCTAGAACTAACCAAACATAGATTTTCCRTGTTTCTCGGAAATTTGTTTTCAGGTTTGACCATTCCACATTTTCCTACTTAGTATCATGATGATTTCTAATTGAGACATTTCAGAAATGTTGCAAATAAAGGAAATGATAATTCAAATCCAAATTAAATTCCTTTTCTATCAGGAATACTAACTTTATGACTGTAAATCATATGATATAAATCATATTTATGACTATAGAATCAAGCTTCTCATGGAAATAGGGTACTGTACAACCTAGCCAGAAAGGCAAGTTTCCCCCCCAAAATAATAAACAACTTGTCTTCTACAAACAAAAATCTTATACATAACACTATTTGCTTTCCTTATTTCCCCAATCCAAATCATTGCTATGTGGCATATTTGCAGTCTTGGAAGACAGCCACTGCCATCTCTAAAGTGACTTTGCGTAAGTGATGTTATATTTCAGTTCTACTTCCATTATCATTGGTTGGATTGGCATTAACCTTGATATGAGTTCTAAATGGATCAAATGCACCATTTAGTCAGTCAAACCTGTATGTTAGCAGCACAACAAATTAATCCTGTCTTCAGCTTCATGTGTGCCTTGATCAGTAGGGCTAGTGATGCACAACAGGATTTAATTCTCAATTTTATGAATAAATCAGGTGTCAGTAAGAAGATAAAGTCACTGGAAATTTAGCCAAATTATACATTACTTCATGCAAAAAAAAAAAAAAAAGAAAAGAAAAGCTTCAGATAATACTCTAGTGCCTTAACATCATCTAATGAGCACTTCAAGGCCAAGAATATGTATAATCTGCAAGGTTCTCCTGGTACTCACCCAAAACAGACAATGAAAAATTCATAGTATTGGCCTCAAAATTACTTACTTGCAAGATGGCCTTACTGACCTCCTAAATCCAGTCCTATTGATCCTGGCACTCTGGAACAAGCTAAAAATCATGCTTTTTTTTTTTTCCCCCCCCCCCAAATTTTCTGCAAAAGTTTTCCCTTGTATTTCTCCACATATCATGTATTTGGTAGTTTATTGTACCTCTAAAATGACAGAATACGAGGTGTAAACCACAGAGTGGAGCTTCATGAGCTCTTGCACATACACTAGCTCTTTTCCAAACAGGAAAAAATTATAACCAGTGAAACCTGACATCAGGTTATCCACCTGCCAGTGCAGGGTTCTCCTCTCCATACATTTTGCTGTGCTTTTTCTGGACTGCTTGAAATACACCAGAAGCAGGAGATTTTTCCACTCCAAGTGTATTCCATAATGACAGTGCAGGAAGATGATTMAGACTTGTTCCTGTTTCCTTGTCTCGTCTGTATCCGGCTGACACTGACAGCAAGTCATTACACTGGCTAAAGTGAAAAATTCCCCCAGATACGTTTCCCTTTGTTTACTGATTTCCAGGATTATGCAAAGCTAAACTTTTGACAGATCCATCCTTACTGAAAAATGGCAGCCAAATTGCATTCTTCCTTCTACCCATCCTGCTGAACCTTCAAACACAAGTCACTGAAAGCTTGACACATGATCTAAAGCTGCAGTATATTTTTGCGCATTGCCTGAGGAAAGAAAGCAGAGATATGAAAACCATTATGAAGGATGGCCTCTGCTCAAATTGTCACCAAAATTAACTCAAACCATTCCAAAATGACTAGTGCCAACCGTCCTGTGGACAAAACCTGAGACTGGTGGGCCAAGAACATGATGCAGAAAGACAGGGCCTAAAATGGAAGCACATTACGCTCTGCGACRTATGTGGAGTTGCTGCTGCTGCTGCCAGGCTCTAGCCATCTTTCCTTGTTCCAGTTTTATCTTTCTTTTCCAGTTGCCCTCTCTGTAACATTCTGCATCCTGTGGTACTCGGCCCTCCTCCACCTGCCATTTCTTCCCCCAAGGTGACCTGTATCCGCACAGTGCACAGTGAGTCAACCTAACTGACAGCTAGGCCTCTGTCTGATAAATGACATTTCACAGACTTCAAGTCAACAACTGGGACTACTCCTTTTATTTGCTGCTAAATGGTAATAGTAAGGAACTGTGGAAGAAAAAATAGAACTCAGGCCAACCCATTTACTTCGGTTGTCATTTAATATTAACATAAATGAAAGCTTGCCTCAAACTGCCTTTTTTTTTTTTTTTTTTTTTTTTTTTTTTTTTTTTTTTTTNTACTCTTTCTGTCCCCATTTCTGCCCTCATTTTTTAAATGCATCTATTTTAACTTGGAACATTGTTAGCGGTGATGGGTCAACTTACTGGGATAAAATAAGAGCAGATCAGCACCTTAATACACATTACGAACAGTAATTTAATCTGCATTTTAACAATGGAAGCAACAGCTTGAGAAGAAGTTTTAAGACCACCATTGCAAAGAATAAAGCTATCTTTCCCGTTTCAACTATCAAAGTAATTTAAAATGTATTTTTGAGAACAAAACCTATGTCCCGTACAGTTTTTTTCAAATAGAATTTTAGTCAGCTCCAAGAGTAGGTTTGTTTAGCTTGATTGCCCTTTTGGCTGCTCCAAAAAAAGTCGGATCTTCTGCTGTTGCCTCAGGAAATAGAACTTGTGATAGTTCTGTGTTGGGGATGGTACCGCTGATCTACTGGATCTACTCCAGCCTATTTTACTCGTTGGAAATAACCAGTCTTTCCTAAATAGCTAGGATCCCTGCCCCCCCCCCCTTTTTTTTTTTTTTTTAATAATACTTGTAGAGAAAACAAACAACAGAGAACTCTCCATCCTCTCATCCATGTCGACATTTCTATCCTCTTTTCACTCGTTTATAACAGGAAATACGCATGGAGAAACCCACAAATCTACTTTTCAAGCTTTAGATGATTCAGTAGGAAACATCCCCATTACTTATTCTTTTAATACTCTATATTCTCCCAAATAACTCTGAAGCATCCTAGAAAATATAACYGTATCGGAGAGAAATGAAACCAGAAAAAATGAAATATTAATTGAATATCCAAGGTATGTACATATACATATATTATGAGTAAGACAGGTTTTTATTTAATTAAGAACAAATAAGTAGATATGCCAAATTTGAGTAATTGATAGCTGAAATCTAAAGCTTTTACATCTTTCTTATTTTTCCCGTAAAAGACAAAATTTTCATTTAGAACAACACTTTCACAACCATTTCTGATAGTAAAAGTAACTTCTGGCAACCTAGATAGCTACTACTTTAGGATACAAAAATATTCTTCACACATACGAAGAACCATTTGCTTGGCTACCACATCTGTGTTTGCCATACATACATGAAGTTTTCAGCTATCCCTGCAAAGCAGCTCTTGTTCTAAGATCTTATTTTTAATTTGTTTTATCATTTCAACATTGTAGATGGGTTTTTTTTTTTTTTGATGGTTCTTAGTGATTACTTACCTGTTCTGCCAGCCTTCCCAAACATCTCCACAATTGTGTGTGTGTATATTTATATATATTTTCAATCCTGTATTTCTGCATCAGACAACCAGTCAAGAAAAAGACTCCACTTATTCTTCACAATAAAATTATGTGCCAAAGTCTCTAGGAATTGCCTTCAGTATAGTGAAGTTAAAAATTCAGTTCCACTTATTTTCATAAAATCTTTCATTAAATATTCTGGGGAAAATGATTCAKAAAAAGCAGGAAGGTGAATTCACAGCTTCCTTTCTCTCCTAGTAAAGCTGAACTTTCGCCTCCCCCCATCACTCCTTGACTGTCTGCAGAGAATCTGTGTTCTTGGAATCACTCTCCCACTGTTCAAGTTCTACTGGGAATATGTTGCTGGCTTTAACAAAAATGTCTATTTTATTTTATTTTATTTTATTTTATTTTATTTTATTTTATTTTATTTTATTTTATTTTATTTTATTTTATTTTTTCTTTTTTAACTCCCCTCCTTCATTTGCCCCTTCTGGCTTTGTCTCATAGAGTCCTTGTTCAGAAAGTTTTACAAGGTGGACACATCCATTAGCAGGCTTATATATGAATTACTGTATGCTTCCTTCAGGTTGTATTTTGACACAAGTGTGTGGAGGGGACTGAATGTCTTAGGCTTTCCTATGAGATCTTTCTTTTCATATCGTCAGTTCAAGTGCCTGCATTGTGCTGCCATTGTGTGAACAGTAAATGATAACTGCGGATCCCCAGAATTGCATAATCGGGGTGGAAAAGACTCTTCCTGGTATAGATATTCAGATATTTACCTAGTGCAGGTACCAGCAGCTCTGTTGCTCCTTAGGCTTTTTTATCAAAGGATAAAAGAGTTTATTATGAAATAACCTGTGTTAGACCCTGAGAGTAACCAGTTCAGCCTTTGGTTGGTGTTGAAAATCACTCAAGTACTACTGTGAGAGCTTGTACTCCCCCAGCAAGTAGGTCATCTGTGCCTTCTGACGCCTGTCTGGAGACTTGAAGAAATACTCTTCTGCTTAAGTGTCAGTTTATGCAAGTCCAACAGAAGAGTTCAGTTGCTAGTCTCGCTACCTGAAGTCTCTATTTCATTACTGCTCCATCATACTCAACATCAAGGTACTTCCACCCCAAGTGCAATCAAAGTATTTGGAAAATGCACATTCTGTTCTCAAGAGTAAGAGATGTTTTACAGTCCCCAGCTTTCACGCCACAGTGTATGCAGTGCCATTTTTACTTTCTGCAGAAGCTATCAATTTTAAGGCTGGAGGAGAAAGGTGTTCTGTGGAACAGCATCACAAAACCAGCACAAAAGCAACATTAAAGTTGCTGTGAAGCTAACAGTATGCTAAATCAGCTCAGCCAATACATCATCCTTCGAAAACATTACCAAGAGCTAGATTTAATGACTCTATTGTTCAGCCGGAATAATTTGTATTTAATTTCTCAGGGAAATCCATATCTTTTATCCCAAGCAGTTATATTGTTTTCTTATTGTATTTTTATCAATGGTTCAGTTGCCCTTTAATCAAAAGATAATGCAAGAGGGAACATTTCTCATTCAGCAGAGCATCTTGGCTAATTTTATGGTCCCATATGTGATCACTCTGAACACAAGTTCATCCAAAGTACAATTTGCAGTGTACGCATAACTAGATAACTAATAATAGAATATGTAAAATTCAATCTTAGTGACCTAACACTTACATGCCCCTTGGGTTTGAGCTAATATTCACAAGTTGATTAAATATGCTCTAAGAATGAATGCACAAGTATGCCTTCACTGTTAGCAGTCAGAAAAATAATTCTGTATACTGGAACTGGGAAATATTGCAAAGTTAAATAATCACCATTACTGTTACACAGGTAAGTTCAGGTAGTTACACATTAGGCATCCGGAACAAAGATGATTTCCAGAGAACTCACCAATTTACCACTTTTACAGACAGCTAAAATAGAACTGACATTGTGAGAGACTTTCTAACAGGCACAGGTAATTCATTTCAGTAAGCAGCAATGAAGTCAAACCACAACAGAAAAATTCAAAACTGTACAGAGACTAAATGCAAATTTATGAACTATTACTGTCCCTCAAATTTCTGTCAAAAAATTCTACTGCCTCAGAGAAAGAGGGAGCATTGAATTTATGCAGTATTACAGGTACATCTCTTTTGAAAACAGGCTGATGCCTTCCTAATTTCTTACTCAAAACCCCTAGATTCTGGGAGGCTGAGCTGTGATGGAAGCTGAACAGAAATGCTTTGCTAGTGTGTTTAACCTCAAACATTCAAATAGAACAAGGGAGCTTTCAATTAGAGGAGCAGAGTGGGAGCATCATAGCACAGGAAGACTGTGGGAAGGCTACCTAAGCTCTGCCTTGACTTCAGACATGGCTTCTGGCTATGCAACGCGACTGTCCTCRAGAGCATCCATTCCCCAACGCCTTCATCACAATCAACGAAGCACAGCTGGCACATTGGTGGCAGCTCTCTCTAAATAGTTGTCTTCCCAAAACTGCTTGGTACTGATCTCCATCTATCTATACTGTTACTAAAATAATACTGGGAATAAAAGAACATGAATGGGCCAGCACTCAGTATTTCACCAATGCATTTTTTGTTTTGAAAGACTGCTTTTAAAACAATGCAAAGTGCAGGCATCATTTGAGTGTAAATCTATAAAAACTGTAAATTTAGTATAAATCTATAAAAACAACAATACCTAAATTCATAAGCTGAAAATTGATTTTGGTCTTTTGGTCTTTGATTTAAACTTGACCTTTCAAAGTACAAGTTTTGGGCCTTTCCATCAACTCCCTATAGAAGAATTGAATGCTACAAGCAAACTTTTTTTTCACATTTTGTCCTCCCTTACAGAGGGAATAAAATACTTTAGAACCTGGAATTAATAAAAGTCATTAATCTCACTGATTCAACCAATCCTGTTAGGTTTTTTTCAAGAACTATTTGCAGCATCTTAGTCAAGCAAAAATTTCTTTCTCAAAGAAAACTTGTTCTGTGAGTAAAGTCGCCATTAGGCAGACTGGACCATACCAATCTAACAAGAGCAGTATCTTTTAAAATATGTTGTGGTGTTGTATGCATAAGAATATCTCTATTTTTAACCAAAATATGTAATTTTCAGAATTTCTGCTTTCATTTGTAGAGCCTCAGTGGTAATTATCAATTCATGATCAAAATCAAACGTTATGGAATTTTAAGGAAGGTGTCTCCTTCTGTCATGTTTCATTTTATAGACAAAAAAAAAGCCTACTTACCAGAATTTTGGTAGTGTAAGCACTGTTGATAGCAATTGCATTAACCAGCAGGTCGAGGGTTTTGGTGGGTATGGAATCGGGGTCAGGGATCTCCTTGTAGTGGACATCACCCACGTAGGCTTGCACCACTGTCATCCGGTTGGTGGTCAGCGTCCCCGTTTTGTCGGAGCAGATGGCTGTAGCGTTGCCCATAGTTTCGCAGGCGTCCAGGTGGCGAACCAGGTTGTTATCCTTCATCATTTTCTGAGAAAAAGCAGAAGAAAAAGTCTTCAGATTCACTTTGAGAGATTTTAGATATCAGCCAGAAAAAGCATTAGTGCTTATATTTAGCCTTGCTCACTGTAATTTGGTGTTCACTAAGCCACAGCTCTGATGCTCTAGGCCAATAACCCAAAGCCTAGTTCTAGACAACCAAGTGGTAATCCTCCCTGGAATAATTCTGCCTGTGATAAATTGCCCTAGTTACTGCATTCTTTGCAGGATGCATGCGTTTTAAGAAAAAAAACTAGAACAGGAAGAATTAGCTAAGGTATTTCAGAAGAAAACAGAATGTTTCAAGCACTTGACCCTTAATCCCTGAGTATCTTACATTCAAAGGGCAGACTATCACCAGTCATAAGCAATGCAGTATTACAATTTGATACTACAGGTACGGATATTCATGTGTTTGCTGCATGTGTTGGATGGAAGACTTAAGAAGACTAGGAAAATACATTAAAAGCAACAATTTTTATTAAGTCACATACTTCAGAGCTGGCCTTTTTTCTAATAGTAATGTTTCTCTACATGTAAATCATGCTWTTCATTCATTATATCCATAATTTATTTACATGCAAAATAGAAACAAACTTTAGAAACATTTTAAGATCTCAGATGAAAATTTTATAAAAGGARTATCTGACTAGATAACTAATCCATTCTAAGAAAACTGCTAGATAGATAAGGGAATAATTTACAACTCCAGAATTCTAATTTCCTTTAATTTTGTAATTAAATTTGGCTGCAAACATCTGCAACTTCATTTATGAAAAGCACATAAAAGTTCTAGCTTTTTATTACATTGATTTACAGGCCAGTCTTCCTGAAATACAACAGAAGTTAAAGAAGTCATTAGCAAACAACTGAATAGGAGTTTTCTGTGATAATTATTTTTAAGGTTTCTTACCTTTACAGAGTAAGCAAGAGAAATAGTGACGGCAAGTGGAAGTCCCTCGGGAACAGCAACCACAAGCACCGTAACACCAATAATGAAGAACTTAACAAAATACTGCACGTAGACAGGTGTGCACTCAGGCAACCACGGTTTCTTGTTGACCACGAAGGTGTCAATGGCAAAATATAGTACCAAAATAATTACAGTGATGGCAGACATCACCAAACCTGAAAACAGAAATAATCAGTCACTATGAAGCAAAACACAAACAACTTAAAATACGCACAGTTTGAAATCTTCACTTGAATTTAGTAACAAGTTATTTTCCTAGTCTATATGAAATTGTTCATTACCACTCCTCTACCAATAGTGATGAATTCTATAATGTAGAAAAACAGCGTATTACTATGTGTACATTTAAAACAACCACAAGAAGTCTAGACCAAAAAGTCTAAGGAATAATGCACTGAATCCTGCAGGACACCTGCATGGTACTGCTCATTTTTTAAGTACTGTCTTACTGCCATTTTAAAAGTTTTCACTCAGTCTAGCTTAAGTATTACTTAAGCTACAGCTTTAAAGYTTTGCTTAATACAACATTTATCTATCCTTTTATTACTGCCTTTTACAAATTACTAGTCTCTWCATATTTAAACACCATTTAAACGCCATGTTATTTCTTCATCTTTTTAAATAAGCCTTTCTTAACAGACTTGAAAAAAAACTATCTCCTGTACCTTACCTTGCTATGTACAATATTTTAGAAAGAAATCCCTACTGAGGAATCAGGTTGTATACAGTGATGAGGCAATACTGCAAAATTTGCCCACAAAACAGGTATCTAATTTTTATTCTTGACAATTTGATAAACGCTTGTGCTTCCCCTTTTCAAAGGGAAAACATGTAAACAGTTCACAGTTCTGTGATAAGTGGTCCAAGAGAACTATAACGCTGACAGAATTATAGAAGAGAGACGTATAAATGTTTCACAGAAATCAGAAAAGATCCAGGGACAAAAAACACGCTCTTTTAATGACAGACTTGGCTAACATAACCTTCTCTCTCCAGAATTTTCTCTCAGGGTTCAAATGATGAATACTGGTTTTCATTACAGCATATAGTTTGACTTGCCACGCTGACTTGCTGCGCTTGCTTACTGTACTTTGGCTGGCTTTATGAAAAGGCTAAGCCTGCATTTCAGAATAAATTCTCTATAAGGAAATCACAACCATTGAAGAGAGATGCTGTGAATTACACATCTTTTAAGGTGCTTTTAAGGTCCTTCATAGTTAGAGTCATACTTAATACAGCTCCATCATGCATCATAGATCTAATTTTCCTGCTTTTTTTTCATTTTTAAATTAAACTACAAGTTGGAGGGTATCATATTTAGACAGCAAGAACGAATCTGGTTATTAAAGAATAAGCAGAATCTCAAAATCCATAACAGGGCAATCCTACATGACTAGCATTTTGAAAAGATGATGAAGTTTCTGGATTGCATACTCAGAAGTTGTAAAGGGAGAGAAAATGAAATATCACGTGATTACTATACTTGGGAATGTCAACTATGAGAAATTGTATTTCATTCCAATATTCATTATAATCAGAGTTTCTCCAAGCTGAGTTTTAGAGATAAAGCATCTTCAGTACCACTTGCCATCTTCACAGCAGCACTGTGATGACCTCTACAGCTATTGCTGTAATAAAGTAATTTTTGTTTTCACAATTCCTCATTTGAGAACTGTAACCAGTGTAACACACTGCTCTCCGGCCAGCTCGCGTGTCGTACCTGCTTTGCCTATCTGGACGGCCAGCTTGGTGAGCTTTCCCTGCAGGACAGATTTCTCCTTCTTGTGCATGTTGGCTTTCTTCTTGTCCTTGTCGTCCCCCTCTCCCCCTTCGGCACTCTTCAGTGGCTGCATCTCCATGGCGGCAGCCCCGTCCTGCTGCTTGGCTGGGGGTGCAGAACAGCAGCGTTACTCCTAAACTCATCTGCCCTCTTTGCTCTCCTAGCTTTCATACTTACTGCGGTCAGCTACCAGCACCCCTCAAGGGCTGCTCGCCACGCAGATGAAGGTAACAACACGGAGCTACCACCACAGACAGACGCCCACGTGGGCTCAAATCTGTGTGTGCACGGATGGCACTCCACGTCACACACCCTTCACCTGGTCCCATGTAAACTGCTGATTCTTTTTTACTATCAGTAGCATTCTGTGTTATACATATACACATATATAGCACCCTTAATGTCTTGCAAATTACTTGACAGGTAACATCATCTCAGTACTGCAGGATTTTCTAGACTAGCAGCTGAAAATTTTTTTCAAGTTGAATGCATTTCCCTGAAATTTAGTATTTCTCATAAACACATCCTTAAAATCATATTTTTATGGAAAGCATTTTATAAAGGCAGTGTGTGGTTCAAGATATGAAGCACACACCACTTTTCCTGGCTTCATGGGCACCTCAGTTACCAGAGGACCATACCTGGCGAACAACTCCTGAAATGTTTTCCTGGCATTCTGTGTTCACGTAAATTAACCATCAGGTCAGGTGAAGATACCATCACCCTCCCTTAAAATGCAAACATGGTTTATAGTTAAACCATCCTCTCTTGCAAGAATGCTTTCATATGAGAAAAGTTGACCGCTTTTTAAAAAGCAAAGACATTTTTATATGCAAAGACATAGTTTATATATGTGTATGTGTCTGTTTTACACAGAACAAACAGAATGAAATGAAACATCTGCTCAGTTTTGACATGAACAGTTTATATAAAGCTATGCTTATTTAATCTAGAATAGACTGGCCTGCTTAACCTTAAAATTTATACACTTAGTGTCCTTTTAGTTAACAGGTACCATAAACAGCTGAATTTATCTAATCAGTTTCTGGTCCACCACCTCTAAGATCTTTAAAATTAACTGAGAAAGTTACAGTTTACTAATTTACTTAATAAAAAACATGATGGTGCACCACATAATAAAAAGGAAATCAAGAGGTACTTGACAGGGAGTGAAATACCTATTTCAACTTCTTCCTGAGGTTATACATTAAATAAGAAACATCTAAAACTGTTAATCCTTCTAATGTTCATCCTTATAATATACTTTGCAATTGCTAAATACTCTTTTCATTAAAATTTCCTTTTAGTATTACTTGATCTGCAAATAAAAATACAGACACTGCCATTAAATACCACACATGACACAACATAGCCAAAATGGGATCGGAAATTCCCTACTAATACACTGCATATGCACAATACAGAGTAGCTTGCACAAGAAAAATGAATTCAAAATGAGCTTCATGACATGAAAACCTCATCTATAAATGGCTTATTTGAAACTCACATCTTTTTTTCCTCTCCTGAAGCTTATAGGTTAAAACTCTATAATTTATTTGSTATAGCTTTTCTTTTTAAAACACTCTGAACAACAGAGACAATCTGACACAYAGACAAAAATCACAAATTGTCATTTTATTTTTCAACAATCTAATTATATGTTAAAAATAAAATCCACAACCTGCTTAATATGAAAGAAGATTACCTTTGTTCTGGCTGTTCTCCATATTCCCATCCTGCATTTTGCCTATATGATGGAAAATTTCAACAGACAACAGACAGTAAACAGTCATCACCCAGGACAGAACATGACAATGGAAATTTAAACAAAAAGGGCAGACAAAAGTAATGAGCATGTTACAGAAATTTATTTATGATCAGCAGCCATTATTACCATATAATTAGTTCTRTATATAAAGTCACTGCTGGGTGAACCACCTAGACACAACTGCCGTCAAATTCACTCTTTAACAGGTAAAATACTAAATATTGGTGCGTATTTTTTCAGCAAATTGCCTAAGCTAAGAGTGAAGCTAGCAAAATATCCACTAGAAATCACAATTTGAACAATAACCCTGAATTGAAATTTCAGACAACTAGGGTTTAATGAAGTAACACCAACATAGGGCATGAATTTCTTAGTCCAACCCATTCCAGAATTAAAATTTAGTAAAATAAGACAAAATATAAATAATAATTTACATACATGTAATAAAATTAAACTTCAAAAATTAAAGTAGGACATAATTTTAAAATTACATCATCCAGTTATATAAAGGTTATCATATTTTGCAATTTACTGCTATAAATATGTGTTGGCTGTTCATCCTGTATTCATATTTATACTAAAGATATGCCATATGCATCTTGTGCATATGTAGTTTTAAATGTGCTATTTTCGCTACGTTTTAGCATATAAAAATCATTTTTCATTTTTTAAAACTGATACTAGGAAATTTTCAAGTGTGCATATATGACATGAAAACGGCAAAATACTAGGAGCGTAAGAAAACTTTGGTGTTGGAAATGCATTGAAAAATGAGAGGCAGCAATCTCTTAAAGTGACATAAGAATTTATCTTATACATTTGAATTGTATAAATATTACATGCACAATGGCTGGCATTCTCTTGGTTGTTCCTAATGCCCAATTGAAAAGTTAAAAAGTTAAAACATTTTAACTTGATTTTTCATACACATATTAATAATAAATATATCATTAGGTTTTATATAAAAAAAGACAGCAGTAAAGTCCTGCTCCTTCCACAGCCTGTGCTGACATGATTATATATGCTGATGTAAACCATTTGGCATCAGCTGCTTATCTATATTTTTAACCCTACTCCCACCTTGCATATCTTGTGATTTTAAAATAAGGTATATATTTATCTTCCAGAGACTTATGCTTTTCCATGAGACATTCATCTATCGATCTAAACAACTTCAAAAAATTATTTTCACAGAAAATAAAACTTGCTTTTTAAAATTTAATCTAAAAATCATGGTTAAAAGAAAAAGTTCATAACGGAATTTGACAACTGCTTACCTGCTTTTTTTTTTCTTAAATATAAGAAAGCTTCAAATATAGTTAGTAGAGAAAACATCTGTAGAGAGTCTCATTTCTAACTAAAGGAGAAAGCCTTCTTTTAAGAGACTGAATATACGAATTTAGAGCAGTGTCATCTGTTCCTTTTTCAGCACTGCACTAAAAATTTAATCTACCCTTGCTGCATAAAAATAGCCAACAAATGACTGGACAATCATTAATAAAAACATAAATATACTTTTTTTTTTTTTTTTTTTTAACCTCAGCAGCTATTGCACTTAGCTTAATGTTTTAGGTTGAGAAATGTTCATCATAGCTATTTTTCTCTTCCTCCTCTTTCCAATAATTTCTTCAGTCCTAAGGCTGCACTTGGCTACCTATTAGTAAGAAAATATTCTGGGCATTCTATAAATAGTAAGAGAGACAAGGAATTATTCAATTTTCATACTGATAACAATTCAAAATTACTTGATATTTTTATATAAATTCTGCAAATATTTCTTCTTTGGAAATAATTAAAACAGTTTGGGTGCTTGTAATTTGGAGGAAATCATTTAAATTTCTTCCCCTTTTCTAAGCAATGTTAAAAGTTGGGAGCTCTAGGAAGAAGGGCTCCTGAGATGATGTATTCTCTAGCAACTTTGAAGGTTCTGATGTGTGAATATGCATACAAAATATCTTGCATGTTACCTTTACCTTAATTAGAATGTATGCCTCTACTCGGAACACAGCCAGGACACTGCTGCTGCCAGAGCTCTCACCACAAGTTTCCTTCAAATAAACCTCAAAAAAGAGATTCCCCTCTCCCTCCCGCCACCCTTGTGAGGAGGCAGGGAGCCATGATAAGCCAAACTTATTCCTGGCATTAGGAGTTATTTGTTCACTGCTGGAACTGCTTGCAATTGGCCTTGGTCACAAGGCATAACCTTATTACCTTCTACTGTGCCTTGACAGAGCTAAAAAATACATAAAGTCCCAGGAGACTCCAGAATGTCTCATCTTGCAGTGGAGATGAGTTAGAGCTGTCTTGAGGCCAAGTCAGCTATGTCCTACAGCTAGTAAGAACAGAAGCACTGTGCAAATCTGCAAATCTATATATGGGAGGAAAAAAAACTGACATCAAATATCTAGTATAGTCCTTCTTTATGAGAAATACTGTCCCTCCCCAATCCAAGGGAAAAATGAATCAGGAAAAAGGCCAGAGTCTGCTGGACAAGAATCCAGTGATTGCTCTAGCCCATATTCTCTTTAAAATAAGTGCATTACTTTAAAATAAAAGGATTCTCCATTACCTTTCTGTAAAATATTCTGGTTTAATCCTAGCCTGAACTTGTAAGCTGTTAAGATCTGGATACAGCCATGGGTGGAATTTTTGAACAGAGGACCACCAAGCAACTACCTCCTTGCARCACTTCGCTACTAGAGTCCAGTACAGCCCATCATAGATCCTTTTTATACAACAGGTATGTGGCAAACCTGTGTGGCTGTAGCATTACTGAAAATAAAAGACATTTTCCTGTCAGCTGTATTTTTGTAACCGAGAATAACAACATATTTGCAATCACTATGTTGATTTTCAACAAAAAATAGCATTTCCTGTGCTTAGTACACACCGAGGCATATATTCCTCTTAAGGTACTTTCTCCTGAGAGATATTATGCATTAAATACATACGCTTGTTTTCAGCCATCTCTTTGGGAAAATCCTCATAGAACAATGAAAAAAAAATTTTCTTCCAGACGGAAAAAAATAGGAACCTCACAAACTTCATTCTCTTGTTTTAGAACTTATTTTTAACTTCCATTCTCCCCTCAGCCGCCATACATTTTAAGTAGTTAGATCACCACTGCTGACTAGACAATGCAATGCATAATATACGCAGAAACCAGACTCTGGGAATTTCCCAAACCTTTTCAGAGCACTCAGATCTAACTTCACTTGCCAAGTCTGGGCTCACTGCTGAACACACTATCACATGAGCTGAACTGTACAAAATATTTCCCAGAYGTGTTGATTATCAGAAAAAAATGCAGCTGTTCTCATGCCTGGCTAACAGTAGTCCATTCCATTTAATACTGGAATTAGACTATCAGAAAAGATGCTGAAATATTAGCATGCTAAGGAACAGGGCCACAAAGCTGTATGGCACGTGAAAATCAACTAGAATATTTTTCCTTTTTTTGGAAAGGGATACAGCTCATTACATGATCACTGTCTACACACAAGAAGAGACGAACTTTGCTTTGCATTCTCTTACCAGGAAGGTGCTCAGAATAGCAGAAGTTATTTCTAAAGCATTTCAGGGTGAAATTAAGGCAGATTCCTGACTCCAGCACTATTTCTCAAAAGTACATGATGTCTGTATGGATACTTATGAGAGTGCCACATTGAAAGAAAAGAGTATGTAATCACTTTTATTATAGTGCTCTTCAAAGTTGTGCTGATAAACATATAAAGTGTTTTACACTGAAATTTTATATCAAGACACTCAGAAGTTTTGAAACCAGTCTTTCTTACGAARCTGTTCCTTTTAACTAATTTTTATTAATGGCAAATAGATCAAAGTTCCTCCTTGTTCCACTCCCATGCTTAACTCCTCATCAGTAACTTTGCAGCATCTTTGTGGCATCTCTTATAAGCTCCTGTACAGCTCAGGGCACACGATTGCTCAGAGGGGTTAACACATGCATATACAACATGTGTGCAGTTCACGGGAGGAAGAGGGAATCTTACATAGTCAGGAGAGAAAACCAGCAAATAACAAGCAGCTAGGGGTTCTTGACGTACCATTGACTAAGCTGGCATTTGCATTATCAGTGGCAATTGCACCTGCTGCACCATCTGTAGCTGAAGGAGGGTGGGAGGAGGGATGGGAAGAATCTACTGAGTAATAATGGATAAAAAGAAAAACAAACAATAAATAATAACAACAACAAATTCACATGAAAGAAACAAAAACATTTGTGGAAGACGATGGCTTTGTTTTCTCCAAGGCATTGTTTTAAATTATTCAGCGTAAATTTCAGAAACAAAATGTCATTAAATGGTGTTACAAAATAAGGCAAGAACTCATATGGAATAWAAATAAATAAATAAATAAACATAAAAGACGTTTAACAAAGTTAAAATCGTTGATGAGAATTAACTGTACACAGCACTGTAAGTTCCTTTGCTTCTTTATGCTGATTTTATTTAAAAGAGTTTAAAATATTAAAATGGTCAAAATTTCCCTTGAGTATTTATGGAATGTGCTAGTAATTTTAAAATATGCAGCATCATGTTGCAAGAAATGCAGTGTTACAGTTTATATTTTACATAATGTTGCCTATTACCATTTATTGCAGAGACATCTCATTCTAAAATGGACTTGGTTTGCATCCTACAATAGCCTAATATGCACATAGATTTAAACAGAAATATCAKTTTTTTCAATACTGTATGCTATAATTTGAGGAAATAGAAGAAATACAGAATCTTCATAAATATAGACTTGTGGAGGAAAAACTGAGTTACTTTAATTCCAAATTACAGACATTGTGCAATTGCCTATATTTTACGATACTGATACAACTGTGAGAAATATATATATATATATATATTTTTATACATATATATATATATATATATAGTTTTTCAGCAATTTTCCTGGTATTAAAAAAGTTAGTCAGGCAAATATTTCTTCCCTAACAGAAAGACTGAAAGCTTTCTAGAAGGTTCTTATTGTTTAGTATTTTTTTTTTAATGCTACAGTACAGAAAATTAATCTCAGCAAATACAAGAGAAAATGAGTTATGCCCTTTTTCAGGTGGTTGATTGTTCACTGCAGAGCAYAGATGTCCGATAACAAAGTCTGTTTGAGACTGAAGAGCTTCCTTGCTACCTGACCCATAGAGGCTGTTTCACACTGTACTGGTTTGTTACTCAAGAAAAAGGTCATGTTTTATTTACAAATGATAAATTGGGAAAAGAAAATAAACAACATACAAAATTTATAAATGCACCTTGTATGAAGTGCATTCATGAAAATTTCAATTGCAAATTTGATTACTGCAATGGTAATAACTTATGCTGTTGTAGTTACCCATGCTTATTTTCATTCCAGTTGGATACCCGTACTAACCAGCACAGCATGAACTGCTAATAGCAAATAGCACATTTCAATATTTAATAGAGAGTAATTTACTTCTGGAGAATAGCTGAGCATTCAAGCTTAGCAGTAAGATCTGCAACACCAATAATGCGTAAACACTTAAATGTTTGCCAGGAACAAACATGCAAGTGTCTTGAATCCCGTCAATTTGAAATGATTCTTTAATTTAACTGCACTAATTTAAAGGCAATTATATTAATCATTAGTTCAACTCTGATTTGCGCACCACAGCTTGCTAGCGAAATGCCTTAGCCCTCCATTTGATCTGCTACAGTTCTTACTCTACCTGGAAGCTGATGTCCATCCTCCTGTTTCACACCTGCATGATGATTTTTACAAAACATTAATAGTGATAAAGGCAAACACCCCAAAAACCTAACACACACACATTTACACCTGGGAGGATTTCAGAGAATTGCAGGTTTCTGTTGGAGAGAACACCATAGGGACAGAAGCACAGTCTGCAAGTGGCTCTGCCCAGGCACTCTTCTGCACTAGCACAAGGCAGTTAGAAACACTAGAAAATTTTAAAGAATTTTCTGGTTGTTACAGCTATATCCAATTAGATTTAGCGTCTGCTCTACAAATTTTAAAACACCTTGAAAGAAAGTCTGGCTATTAATTCATGAACATAGTGCACTCTGTTACCTTCTACCTCATTTTCCCTGTCAAGGCTAGAGAATTACCAGTGTACTGGACAAAATAAAATGCAAAGAAGGGCAAGCCAGAGAAGTGCAAGACCTACAGAGAGCTGTTAACTTGCAAGCAGCTGCCACAGTCTCTACCTCCCACCTACAGGACCCTCATGCGATGCCAGGACGGACACTGCCGGCTCGCGAGAGGCCCAGCGCAGTTGTCGTCTTGCAGGGRCAGCAAGATCGGGCCCTGCGACGCTGTTCAGACTCGCTGACATGAAAGATGACCTAGCAGGTACTATACCTTTGTGCACWAATTAAATGGTGAACAGCTTGTAAAAGCGTCGCCGAAACAGGGATTCTGCTCACAGAAACAGTCCCATGCAAGCACTTCAACTCTGATAGAATGTAAAACGTTCAGTAAAGCTCTTTATATTAATTGCAAAAGCTATTAAAGAGTGGAAATGTCAAAAAATGTATGTTAGTTTGCCTTTAAATATGACTGAGATAAATATTCTTACAACCAACTTCCTAATTAAGATGAAAATTTTTGAAAGTAGACTTCAACAAATTACAGAAGACTGTGAACAAAAACTAGGAAGGACACACATTAAATCACATTTCTGCTTAGCATGCGACCCACAAAATAAGCTTTTGCTGACAACATCATTCTGTAATAAGGTGAAAGTCTAGGGAGACTTTTTGATTTCATTAACTGACATCTGATACCAAAGTTAAAACAGTCTGTTACCATTTCTTGCCACTTATTTTTTCCTCTTTTACTATGCTTAATCTGACCTATCCATCTGAAGAAATTAAAATGYCTTATATTGTGCTCTGATAAAGTCATTCACTGACACTGAATGACTTAGCAAAAGAAAAAAAATATATATATATATATTTTATCCTCAATTTATTTTTGAAGTTCAAAGAAAGATGTTATTTCCATGGCTGAGTTTCAGAAAAAAATATTACATAGATGCAAGTGCACAGGATCAAAACTTTAGCAGATTTTAGGTGAGTATCAATTTATGTCAAAGACATGGAAGCAGGAGCATACCCAGGTATTCCTTTGTGCTTGGTTATGTACTGAGAGTCTGCAACTTCACACTGGAAAAACTTCTTGTTATCCAAAATATATTACTAGTTAATAGATTTTGGTTTTCCTGTGTAATGTGTAACGATAAAAACATGTACCAAAAGTCTGTAGAACTGTATTTATTTGCAAACAATTGAGAGCCTTGGCTATGCAAAGCCCAAGTGCTTGCCTAAGAGCATCRTACGTGTTGTGAAATTTACCTTTCTTATCCTTCTTTTCTTCTTCTTCTCCTCCAGCACCCAGCAGAGTAAAGATGATGCCTGTCTGAGAATTCACACCCACAGCAGTTACCAGCATTCGTCCAGAGCCTTCCATGACATGAGTACCTGGAAATATGCAATATAAGTTAGAGATATTTTGCTAATAAGTTAAAAAGCACAGCCATTAAAATATTTTATATAAGACTTGAAATAAAGGAGGGAAAAAAAGCTGTTCATTTTCACTCTCAAATGAGAATGGACAGTTGATCCCAAAGCTTAGGAAGCATTAACCACAAAACTCTAATTCAACATCAACCACACACGTCATGTGTCCTTTGCAACAAAAATGTTTCCACTAACTGAAAGTTTGTCTACTCTGGAAGACAATTATCTTAGCTTCATATAGTTAAATTGAAACTTGGAAAATATCTTTTAGGAGCGCCACAAACATTCTTCTTCTGTGAATCTATTTAAGATTATACCAGTTATATAAGGAATACTGTTACATAAGCAAAGTTAAAATATAGAGCGAATTTCATATTTCTTAGTTATGGTTGACTGACAGGCACAAAAAAGAATCTACCTGTTGAAGACCACGTCAAGTTTTCAAATTTGCAAGTTCAGTACTGAAAAAGATCTTCAAGATGTTTTTTGAGTATCACAAAACCAACAGAACGTGGACAAATACTTGAAAAACAATTCAGAATGTATAAGATTTCTATTACTCCAAGACAAAATGTATGGTGATTCCAAAAATGATCATCTGATACTTATATCATTGTATTAACTAAATGAATTCCTTTTGATAAGTGCTTCATACTTTGTTTTGTAGAAATTTATTTACAGCTTATTTTTAGTTCTATTTATCCTTACACATTTGCTTCACTTAGCAAATTAAAAGTGCAAGATTAAACTATGCAAATTGTTCAGAAATTAATGTTTCCTTTTTTTCTTGTTTTTTTTTTTTTTTTTAAAGCACATAGAAGACGGCATACGAGATCTTCTTCTGATGAATCTAATCCTCTTTTTAGTACAGATGCTAATTTGAGAGATTTGGCAGTTATGCTAATTGTTTACAGGAAAAGAAACACCAACCTTGAAATGCAATTTTTGCCACACATATAAATAAGAATAAAACTGGCATGTGGCGATGAATCATTGAACCTTGAACAACATTAGATGCATCTAAATTCACAGCCTTGCAGAAACTTCCTGCTTGTGGGAACACAAACTAGAAGCTACTCCAAGTTGGTAGATCAACCTATGACTGCAAGGAATTGGAAGTTTACTGGGTTTGGTTTTTTTATTTAAAATTTTTTTGCTGTGTATGGAGAAGAAAATAGATGGAAAGCTGTGAAAATAAGACTGTAGCATAGAAACAACAGTTGGAGAAAAAACAGTTGTGCAGGTATAAGTGTATTGACCACCAGGTTAATTATGGATAAAGACATGGTCAAGTAAACTTACTCCAGAAGTGTTTTGTTATTTGTTTCATATACTAAATGCTGTTGTTTTAGACCAAACTGTATTTTAGAACTAATCATACATTACCAGAGTTGCAGCTGGGAATACTATTTATTTCTAGTGGAGTCTCTTACTTGGCATTCAGACTATGAAACCTGAATGGCCATGGAAAGAGTCTTTCTTCTTCAGCTCTTTATATTGAGCCTTATCTATATTTATGTGTTATGTGAAAAGCTGAAAAAGTGAAAGATACAGGAAGCTGTTGTTACAAAGATAAATAAATATGCATCCCTGCAAACAAGTTTTTACAAAAATTTCTACCCCTTCTTGCTGCTTATCCTCAGGCCTACTAAGCAATGCACCTATTTAAAATCAAAATCTCTTTCTATAAATAATCAAAATCTCTCATGTTCTTAAAAGGAAAACAGAAACATGGCACAGAGGGAACATCTGTCAAGCCTAAGCCTCATTTGAGAGCATAAATACCTCAGCGCAACAGAAAGAAAATTCCAGCAGAAAGAAGCCAAACAGCAACAAAAATGCAGTAAYGGACAGTTATGGTTTTTAAAAAAGAGGCTTTCTGGGTGCCTGGAGGGCTCAGGGCACGGACACCCTGCAGGGGCTGCTGCTGCCACAGCGGCCTGCTCTGTATCCTGTAGGGCAGCAGCGAGCGCTCGTGGGGCCTTACTGCAGTTACAACAGCACTTAAAAATACATTTTAGTTAAGAACTTGTTTTTGACATTCACATGATTTTTAAGAAATTTGCTCTGTACTGGACTATAAAAGTGTGCCTAAATATCCTCTGAAAGGCAGTGCATACCCCTAGGTCTCAATATCAGCTTTGCCCACTAGATTTCAAGTTTCTCCCTCTACAATTGGAGCCTTTTGAAATCAACTTTCCTTAGTCTTGCAAATTCAAATGGTTAAAGTGCATCTAAAAGGACACAAAAGRATGTTTCAAGCATCCTTGGTACCACTTGATCAGCAGACTAGGCTCTGCAAGCATCAGCTGAACAAGTCTTTTAAGACCTACAGAAACCAGAGTGAAACTCCTTCCTCCCAACTCTGTCAATTCCACCATTTACAAAGCAGTATAATTAACTCATTCTCACTTGAATAAAAAAAATGGGCTGTAAGACTTTGATGAGCTATCATTAAATAAATGGAATTAATGAATAAACGTATGTTTCTCACTTAACCTGCAAACTAAACATGGAAGAGCTGACTTCTTTCGCTTTTGAAGTGAAACTTTCAACACAAGTAGAATATATATTTTCATGTGCTGAGTATTTAATTGGAAGTTGATTACTAATTAATATTCAAAGATACAAAAGGAGTGTAGTTCAGTAAGAAAAGAGAATTAGCAACTATGGGAACCAAGTAGCACGTATGTTTTCAGGATAAAAATGTAAACTGAACATAAGACTGCTGAAAAACATTGAAGTCTAATAACCGTACTTGACAGACAGAGTAGAAATTTAAAAAACAAGACAAAAAAAACCCAGAATAAAGCAGCGTACCAGTCAGGGGGTTTGACCTTATTTACTTCAATCAAAGTAGTAATGAACAAAAAGCCCCTATCTGCAGGTCTAAACGACTCTTTTAATCACTGCAGTTTTTAGAAGTAACTGAAGTTACTACAGAGTGAAATAATCATCAGAATATCCTCTATACACAAAAATAAAAAGCTTTCCAGAAAAACAATCCTCATTTAATTTTAAAACACTCAAAACAAATTGAGACATTAATAGTTGGATGCTCTGTTATGAGAATTTCTGCTTTGCAAGACTTTGAATATTTACTGGCAAGAAAATGAGAGAAAATCTGAGCTACTTTTCTCCAGGCAATAGCTGACCTGATTCCTTAATCGAGCTTCTTTTAAAAAGAAAACCTAATAAAAACCACAGCAGATCAACAGATTTATGTTATTTGTTCTTGAGTGAAAAGACTTTTGGTTTGCATCCTTGCGGTGTGCATTCATTACCAAAAAATAAAAATCATGAAGGTTAAATTAGGATAAAGTAATGTTCTGTCAGTCTCAATTCCATGAGAACTCTCTTAGGTGAGTTACTCCATGCAACCCTTTCATACTGTAATCAAATTAATTTGTAAACTCTTGGCAAAAAATGTTACATAATGAGTCCCTTAATATCACGTTTTAATGACAGCTGTTTTACCTTTAGAGCATCGGGGTACCCCCAAAGTATTTGTGTGTGTCTAATACAGAGGCCAGACTCACATTCAAAGCTGCTGTAAGCAGAAGTCACAGATCTCTCTGAACTTATGAACTCTATGAAGCTCAAAGGATGTATCAGCTGCAGGGAAGAGCGAGCAGCTCCCAGGTCAGTCAGCTGCTAACAGCCTCAAAGAAAGAACGTATTCTACACAGGAGTAAGGGGGAAGCATATAAGACATGCTGCTTATTTTGGTTTCAGGTATTTCAGAGTTTRTATTTCCATTTTTGCCTTCCTAGGTGGTACCAAATGTGCTAAATAGAGATGGAAATGAACCATCTGTTTGAGTCAGCACTTGCACTTTTAGAATTGCTTCTCAAGTATCGCAGATGACTGTCTTGATGATTAAACAGGACATTAAGCACTGAAACTCATTTAGTTTAATTATGTCATTGAACCTGAGTGAATATAAAGGATGCTGTTTCAGGTGCCAACAGTGTAAATAATACTTCCTGATTCAGGGTATTTATCTTTCACCAAATTTCAGCTCTCAAAAATGACAAAGTGTGACAGAGATGCAACTGTTGCATTTTCCCTGCTCTCCTCCGGCCAGACRGAAGCAGCACTTCCCTTCCCGTGGGTGACGACGGGAGACGCTGCCAGACACTGGCCTGACCATCTGCGCCCGGCTCCTGCAGGCKGCCCGCAGGGCCCCGCGTGGCTCTGCGGCCGGGCTGCTCGCGCCGCAGGGCTGGGCGGCAGCGAGGACACTCGCCAGGAATAAAAAGGCCCATTTCTGTTTGGGCTGCTTGGGGATCTCTGACATGATGAGATCGGCAGCTTTTCATTTCGAGATCACATCCCAGAGAAAACCTATTGACAGGCAGCCTATTTAAAAACTGCATTTTCTTTGCAACCAATTTATTGTGTAGAATAATGCAAAATGCAAGTATTACAAATTTATCTTGACTATTGCTGACCATTAGTCAAATCCACAATATTCAGTGCATCAATTTCTTTTAACACGCTCACTGTTCCTTTTTCTAGTGAATGCAGAAAGGTGTTTAAGGATACTTCAAAAGGCATCAAAAATGAACAGTTTAGTTAAAACTTGTATTTAATGAGTTAAAATCATCATTTCCTGGAATGATACTTTTCCTGTTTCTGGCTATAAACGTTATAACCAGAAATAATTGCACAAAATCAAAACCCAAAAGTGTACCCATGTAGGAAAACTGTGCAAGGCCAGCACACAAAGAGCAGGTGTACCTAGAGATTACCAAAACTTGATGAGGTGGTAAGAAAAGAGCACGAGCAAAGCAGTATATGGGGTGAGTGCAGCAAAATGCAGCCCATTTACCTGACAGCAGCATTGGGTCTTTGTCAACAGATTTGCGGACCTGGTCTGACTCTCCAGTTAAAGAACTTTCATCAATTTTAAGATCATTTCCTTGAATAAATATCCCATCTGCAGGTAGGAGATCACCTTTTGGTAAAAAACAGAAATGATTGCTTTTAGAATGACTGCTTTTAGAATTACATAATCACAGTCATAACAACAGTTATATTAAAATGTTAAATGAAAGCAAAAGTGGAAGAACAGCTACCACACTGGGTCATTTTTGCTAATATTATCTACATTCATCCATATTACCATGATTTTTCTCTTAACTCTATAAGGGAAGGGATGTATAAATACTTACTGTCTCTTGCTTTCCCAGCATGAGCTCACATATGGTCAACTGGACCATAAAGCATCGACCCAGCAGAAAGGCTCATCTGGAGGAACCTGATGATTCCGAATACCGGAGGGAGCCTGGCCACACCATTCCCCTTCCAGAGCATTTAAACCTAATTCCTTTTACTCCTAACTGGAAAGGAACCCAGAAGGCCACATACTGAAATCCCCCGTGAAAGAGGATTATTGCTCATCAGGGAAAGGTAGTGAAGATTACAAAAATAAAGTGACCAAAATGCCATTTTATACCAAGTACCTTAGAGGAAGCTTTTCTTTTGCCCTAACGGCAGCACGTAGGAATGACGCTACCAAACACTAACCACATAACTCCTTATCCTTTGGATCAAGTACTAAGAATTAAGTCTTAAATATACTTTATGCCATGCAATAGGGGAAAGGAGGAGGAGAYATGTAAATGAAATTCAAGAAGTGGAGGACTACTTGACCCAACTTACCATATTTCACCTGTGCAATGTCACCAACTACTATCTCCGCCACCGGGATCTGGATGACCTGCCCACCGCGCACAACAGTGAACTTCTGCTCCTGCTCAATGCGGCTCTGCAGCCCCCGGAACTGCTTCTCCTTGCTCCAGTCATTAAAGGCAGTGACGAGCACAACACAAATGACAGAGAGCAGGATGGCGGCACCTTCAATCCAGCCAGCTTCGGCCTCACCTTCATCCTCAGCTCCTCCTGTCGCAGTTCCGCATCCTGAAAAACAGTGTGAGGAAGCGTCCAGTTGAACATGGATCAGATGTATCGGGTGAAAGAATGTTTACAACTAAAGCTTGACTTTGGCACGTTCATCACCTGTCACGTAAAGACAATTAAYGAGCTTTCTGCCTTTAAACCACAAAGATTTCCTTGTAATACAACCATCATAATTTAGCTAGCCAAGTAGCTGCTCTTTCATAGAAACAGTAAGAAAATTACCAAAAGTCACCAAAAGACAGACATATTAAAGACTGAATTTCCACTGAGTGGACCAAAGAGAAATTCATACATAACTTTTTACCAATTTCCTCTGCAGTTCTAACTGAGTCTTAGCCTAATTGAGAGGCTTTCTGAGCAGGAAAGCATGAGAACCTTGTGAGCAAGACTGTTGATAAGGAATTTTAGGAAAGAAATTAAGCATCCTTTTGCAGGTTCCATACCTTAAGTTGGTCAAAATCAGAAGCAAATGCAAGCCACAAAACATGGGTACAATTTGTTCCACCGGCAGAATGTTACTCTCTAGAGAGATCGTTGAGCTTTGCCCATCTAACCTTTAAATCATCCTACATGCTTCATTTTAGATCCTTTTTCTAGATCAGGGGCTTCACTTTGGCCTTGCTTGGATTAAAATGTTTCCCAGGACAACTATTTCTGTTCTGGCAAATATAAGAAGAAAGCTTGCTACCCATGTCTTATTAGACACAATCTAGAACGAAACCTCACAAATCTCCATTTCACCCAGCAAAACCCCTCTCTTACCCCTCACAAAAAAACCATGAGGTGAGCACAGCAAGAGATTGATTTTATTTGTCCATTTTAAAATCCTGGCTGACCTTKAGGCTGGCTCAGCTCCTCGGGACTTCTGCATAGTCCTGCTGAGGTGGTGTTTATTTTACTCTATTCTGGAACAGGCTTTCTTAGGCTTTCACTGAAATCTTCTCTCATTTCTACATGATATTCTGCTAAATTGAGGCTTAACACTATGTCATACTTCACTGATACCTTTTTAATCTGACCTATAACAGCAAACCTGAAAAATCAACTGCTTGAACAAGACAAAGCAGCGGTGTCCTTGATGATGAAACCCCTGATGGGGCCCGGACCCACGCGCGTGCTGCTAGASAGCAAGTAGAGCAGCCTCAACCCACCCTGAAAGCCCTCACATTTGGGCAAATTGCTGCAGCTGCTCCAAAGGACTAACACGTCAGTCCACTGCCGGCTAGTGGGTACGCGCTAACCTGGATTAGCACAGCTCTTCCCACTGGCCTGGAGAGCAGGATTGCTGTGATCGCCTCCAGAAAAAAAGAAGAAGAAAAAAAAAAAAAGAAGGCTTATCTGAGAAAATATTTTAGTGTGAAAAAATACAATTGACAAATAGACAAAAATATACTCTCATAAGCAAGGGAATCGTGTGTTATGTGAAGGGGCTTGTTCCCAGGTGGATAGGAACAATTCCCAGTACGTTTGTATACCCACAGAGAGCAGGCTAACAGCATGCATGGGATGCAGGCTGCGAGCACTGAGGTGAGAGCAACCCTCAGACGGTGCAATATGATTCGTTTTTCATACTACAGCTGAACAGCAAGAAAAGAAGAAAATCTGGGAAAGTGTCCCTAAATTTGACAAGCCTTAGAATTGACTGATGATTTCTGATCTTACTCTTAAAATACTGAGAAAATTCTCCGTAASCCAGTGAAAAGCACCAGGATTCATATGCATCTTTGTTTTGTTGTGTTTGTGCAGCCAAACAGAGCTGCATTCAAATGGAGGAAGGGCCTGGAGAGGGGAGGAAGGAAGTTTTGGGGGACAGCACCCTTGGTAAGGAAATTGAGTTGTCAAACCTAGTCAGAAATAAGACTTGCAGATGGAGGGAGGAGATGCTGAGGTACTCTGGATTTTAAAATCCCCACAGCTGGAGTTCAGCCCGGCTTGTGCAAGCAGGTGCTGCGTGTGGACAAACTTTCCACCCAGCACAGCTCAGGATTCAAGTARCGGGCCAGGACAGGAGAGGCGCCTCCCCAGCGGCTCCGCACTCAATGCAAGGGTAAGGAGCACATGAAGCCGGCCGGGTGGGCGGCGAAGCTCCCCGTGCAGCCACCCTGCCCTCTCCTAATCCCTCTCTGCTCTGCCTGATGATGGAATTTAATCCAGGGCTCCCAGATGTCGGGTCAGGGGTGGTTCTTGCTGTCCAAAAGCAAAGCAGCATTTCTGCAGCAGGATGTTCTARGTGCAGCCCAAGCTGTTCACCTGCCCTCAAAGCCAGCGAGGAGGCAGGATTTCAGGTGGGTAAGGAATGCAGGAGATGAGGAAAAGCCAGAGGTGACCTAGCTGCCACGAAACGCTTTCCTGAACTAGGGCTTTGTTTCAAAATTAAATTCTCCATTTTACTAGAAAATAAATATTGAATAGAAAATAAATTTAAACATTCCCTTTTAATAGAAAAATTGAGAAAGTGATCCTCAAATCCTATAGGTTTGGAGAATTCTTTTTCGTATACTTAGGGAAAACGATTTTTTTCTTCCCCTCTGCCATTACATCACACTGCTTAATGAAATTATAGAAAGAACTATATGCACTTATAGGAGGAAAATGCATGGATTTGTAGGAAAAAAAACATATACTTTCTACATCTTACATGGTCTCTTTTCCCTAGTATACAGAGTGTTACAGTATTGACTTTTATACATAACAGGGAAAAAAAGGAATACAGATGAGACAAACAAGAAAGAACAGTATGTCAAAGGAGACCACGCAAAAGGTATTTTAAATGATCTAATGACTGTTCATATGACCTTTAAAAACTGTGTTAAGATCTACAATTGCTCTTATGCTCTCAAAAGGTAGTACTTGGTTCATGACATTACTGAATACAAATACTTGAATTATTAGTACTGAAAGACAGAGATGGAGAAGCATCATGAAAGTATCTTTAAGGCACAGCTAGATGATGTGAATGTAGCTCCAAGATGATGAACTGTGAAATAGTTAAAATTTATATCTAACACAGCTTCTATTCACCTGAGAAGTCATTGTCAATAATCAAGATTCTAATATGGAAATGGTTTCTACCGTAACTGTAAACACATGTGCCTGGCTCCCTACAAGTCCCATCCTCATAGGACCGAAAACTCGCACGTAGGTTGCAAGGGGGAACACACAGACTTGACTGCAAGTCAKGAGCGGGAAGGGCTGGGGCTTCCTTGGCACCCAACTGTAGGTGAAGCCGGAGCAGGGACGGGGCCTCTCCTGAAAGCTGCGCAGAAGCCCCGGCTGGGCTGCAACCCCCAGCAGCACCAGGACCCCATGGAGGTGCCGAAAGGACTTCAGAAAGAGGGGATGTGTCCTCTGGAGAGCACCTCCAGAGAGCATCCTCAAAGAAAGTGAAAAGAGAATGGAATCACAAAAGCTTAAAAATTTGACCAGAAATAGGCCAGCAAAGACTGTTGAAAGATGGTTCTGTAGAAAGGAGATGAAGGGGAAAGACAGAAATGAAATGTAAAGAGGATTCAGAGAAAAAAGGTACCTCAAAGCAACACACGTAAGCAGCAATGCATCCACAACCCCACCGGCCTGGGGCCGAACTTCATCCCCTAAACCTGACCTGCGCAGGGGCCTGGGCAGACCCAACACAGATACAAAGAGATTTTCTAAGAGCTGCTTGAACTACAGTAACAGACCTGACTACAGTTAATAATTGTAATTAAAAACCCTATCATCTTAAGATGGACCATGGTAATTTTTAAACCAGAGAAYGTATACTTACAGAAAAAAAACAGGAACATCTGTATTCCTAAGTCCCAACCTACAGCACATACCTCTCAGCTACTCATTCCAACCTACACATTTCTATTTTTAAGCTGAGAATACCTCATGGCATTTAAATTCCCTAGGAAAATCTCATAACGCCCCCAGAAGCAATTTTTTTAGTCAGTCAAACTGTTTTTGTCATCAGAAAGACAAGAGTTCCTGTGCTCAAAACTTTGTATTTCAGAGCTTTCTGTAAAGTCGTTTTTGCTCAGCTGCGGCCCCRGTGCTGATGTGATTAAAGCACCTTGTGCCGCTGCATTGCAGCGCTTTATCGACGGGCTGGTTCCTGCTGCTCACCTCACAAGCAGCGCTGCTTATTTCATCAAGGGAATTCACTTGGGTATGAAGAATGATGACCAGAAATCTGAGAGATAAATATCATAACCTGCCTTCCTTGGTGAGATCTCTGAATTGCAAAAGATACTGCCATATTAATGTGAAAAGACCTTTTTGCCCCTTAGTGCTTCCCAATAAATCAGGCACCAGCAAAGGGCAGAGGAGCAGGCGTCACCACGGCCTCTACCGCCGCATCCCCTGCCCTTCATCCCTGCTCTCCAGGGCTCGTTCAGCCAGGAGACGCGTTTCCTGGTGCCGCAGAGTGGCCGAGCGGAGGGGGACCTGCCAAGCAGCATTCCCGCAGCCACACATTGGCTCCSGATGCTCCGCGCGAGCGGGAGGGACCTTGGGACACTCACTTGCCAGCAGCAGGCGGCTTGCTCCCTTCGCGGCCCCTCCGCCAGTTACATAAGAGCTCTGCTGAGGCTGAAAGAAGACACTGTCCCCGAACGCCACTTACATAACCCTCAACTTCAGAGTTCAGTATTAAATATTTACACCTATTTTGACATTTCTCATGTGGGGGAAACAGCACAAGCCCCGCAAAGCCCTGGGCAGGTCCAGGCTCCATGTAGAGTGGAGCCTGGGCGATGGCAGTGCGTTTGAGGACACCCGTGAGAGCAGGAGAGCTGCCCTCTGAGCCCAGGGCTCGGGTACCATCACTGAGCAAGGCTCACAAGGTCATGGCCTAACAGACCTTCCTGCTCCTTGAGGAGCAGGAAGATTTGATGTTTCATCCTAGATCTCCAATTCCTGGTGCTTTGTGAACAATACTGAACAAATAAACTTCACACTGGTGTGCAAATCCAAGAGTCAAAATGTTCTCTGGACAAATGACAGCTCCTGCCAACAGC